TTATTATGAATAAAACAATTTGGGTGTATATGCCTCTAGTTAGCTTTTTAAAGAATTACGCCTCATTAATATTGATTTTGCTTTTTAAAGAATATTTAACCAAGGTTACAATAACCTAGCATAGCTTTAAATTTTGTATATGTTTGTGGCACCATGATTAATGTTTAAGAAAAAACTGTATTTTGGGTTTTATGTCATATTAATAAGCATACAAGCGTCGCAGAAACATTTTCCTTTCCTTTTCTTTTTCTTTCCATTCTTTTTTCTATTTCCCCTTCTTTCTTTCTTAATAAGAGGGTGTTTGGTTTTGTTGGTTTTCTTACACAAATGGCATGAATAAGATAACTAGTGATGATGTGTGTAAATGTCATAAGCTGCAGTTTTTACCAGGACAGAGACAGAGGGCTGCACTTAGGTTTTGTAACCGGGGACTCTGAGGGGCACACACCCATCCAGAACGTTCCGTGGACTCACGGCCAGGCCAGGCTGCGTTCCTGAGCCCCGCCTGGCGCTGGTCGCGGTGTCCCCGCCCGAGTTTCCGCCGATGCCTTTCCCCAGGGGCCACCTCCTTATGAAGAGCTTCCCCAAGGACCACGTGGCCCAGCTGGTTTTCCATTCGGCTGGGCTGGGGTGTTTCACTGGGTTGGTGAGAGCAGATGCGTGGCTGGTCCCTTGTCTGGTAACGATTTTGAAACCCCAGTCACCTCTGGGGCGCAGTCGTGACACCCGAATACCCGCTCCTTAACCAAGTCGCCGTGTTTCTGTCTCGGAGTCCGTGTCCGTTCCTGGCAGGTCCTCCCCACTCTGGTGTCCTCCCTCCCTGTCAGCGGACACCTTTCCGCGGTCAGTTCCCGGCCTGGCACCGCCCCGGACAGGCCCTGTCCTGCCTTTCCATACCTGGTGCTGCAAGCCCGGCTTCAGTGGACACGTTCCGCTGCCTGCCTCGCTCCTGGACAAGACTGACAGCCCTTGAGAATGTTATTCAAAGAGATAAGCCAGGACTTAACAGAGCAAACGCGCATTAGCTTTGCTCCCCCACATTTAACTTATTTTGCAACCTCTCCTGAACCTGGCGCGTTTGTAAATAAGTGAGAGATCGAATTACATTAACTTTAAGGCCCCCATCAATGCCAAAATCCTGTAACCCAGCCAACACAGATCGATACTGTTTCTATTTCATAAAGTCCTGCTTCATTTTCTGAATAAGTAACAGTCTTCACAAAATAATTACTGATTACAAGATGCGTAAATATTCATTGTTGAAAAAACACAGAATATTGTGAAGAAAACTAAAGTAGCCATGTTCTCACCACACAAATAAATCTTTTAGTAGTTAGAAAATGGGTATGCTATTTTACCTTTTTGAATAAAAACAATCAGTTTGTCAAAAAGTATAAAAAGTGTAGAAATTATTTCATAAAAGACAACTTTTCACTGAAAGTATATACACCAAAATATTAATTTTTCTGGTTTAATACTAGTGCATTTATTAAATTCATTCCATATGTGTTATTTTGTAACATGCTTCTTTATGATATATTTTGCGTATTTTCCTATATTTACATATTTAATGTTTTAATCCTCCCTCTTTTTGGCTAAAGCTGTTAATATTTTGGGCCATGTTTCCTCTCCCACTCATTGAATTGAGCTGCGCTCCATGTTTGCATACAGACTTAATTTTCAAAGACGATGTAATTCTAGCTTAAATTGCTTTATTCCCTGACAGCGTGTAGTAAACAGCACATCTGAGCGTTTACCTGTGCTGCTACCCCGGTCGTAGACCAGTACAGCTCACTGCAGACTCTGGTGTAAGTGAGAGCTAATCCCATGTGTCAGGCATTCAAGCTCTTTCCAACTTGCCGCTGTTCTGTCCAATGTAACAAAGTACCGTTGGCCGGCCGAGTGGCTCAGTTGGTTAAGAGCTCGCTCAAGAGTGCGAGTTCTGAGCAACAGGGTTACCAGTTCAATTCCGGCCCAACCTGAGCTGCCACTGAACTACCAACAGGTGGCAGGATGGCTCAGCTAAAAAAACAAAAACAAAAACAAAAAACCCCACCGTGTTTGATAGGCCTGATGAACTTCTGCGTATTGATTTTTAACAAGACAGCTGTTGGGTCAGAATTTGCTGTATTCGTTTCCCGCAGAAAGACTGTGTGATCTCTTCTGTCACCAGCCCTGTGTAAGAAGGGCTGTTTCTTTAAACACTTAGGGGGCTGGCCGAGTGGCTCAGTTGGTTAAGAGCTCGCTCAAGAGTGCGAGTTCTGAGCAACAGGGTTACCAGTTCAATTCCGGCCCAACCTGAGCTGCCACTGAACTACCAACAGGTGGCAGGATGGCTCAGCTAAAAAAAAAACAAAAAACCAAACAAACACTTAGGTGTCAATAATATGTGGTGCTAACGTCATCTTTAATCCTTACCACATCGATGAGCTGGAAATCTTATTTTAATTTGCAGTAATCATCTACTTTGTAGATTTTTAATAAGCTGCATGTTCGTGCATGCCTCTTGGCCGTTTTTGGTTGGGAGCATTCTTTTTTGGTAATCGACTTGAAGGAATTAGCTTTGTAACGGTTTATTTTAAAATCTTCCAGAACCTGGGATGCGTGTGGTACCGAGGAGCTCACACTGGGAGCATGCTGAATCTTTGACAGTTTTAGTTATTCTTCACTAGGTGTTAATGTTTGAACAATTGAAGCCATCAGACCAAAAAAAGAAAAATCTTTGCACATTTACCCTCATCAATTTGGTGGTCAGGGTAAATGCAAAAGCATAATTATGGATGTAACTAGAGTCCTTGAGTATAATTGCACTCATAAGTCAAATAAGACAATTCATAACAATTTGGTTCAGCATTTTAATTTTATCTGTTAAATTATTCATGTGACTACTTCTATGAGTTTAGCCATGAATATTTGATTGGTGGTTGATTCATGACCATGAACTGTGTTAGCCCTTTATTTTTCCATTTATGTCCAATTAACATATGTGGGAAGGTGTGGAAAATTTATTTTTCTTAATGTGAGCAGCGCCGTTCCCCGCAGACTGAGCCTGTGTGGTGAGCTTTCACTACGATTGGAGGCCGACATGATACCTGCTCCGGCAGTTTAATACGGATGGGGCGCTAAGCCTCATTACCTGGAGGGAAAATTTATGAGTCCGTATTTTCCAATGGAGGGACATGACATTCAGAGAGGGTCCGTCATCCAGACGTCACACAGCTTGCTGGTGGCGGAGACTGGCTTCCAGCCCAGGTCCATGCGGATTGAACGATCCAGCTTTCCTGCTGCACAGTAAGCCCCCGATGGTCTGCTCTGAGCAAGGCCAGTGGGCACAGAAGCGGCTGTCCCGGCTGTGTGCCCGCTCCACCATCACCAGACACATTTGCCGAGAGAATCCAATACAGGTTGTCTGTCCTCCTTCCTGTCTGTGTCACCCGGCTGAGTGGACCAAAGCCTGGGTTACGTCCGCAGGGGTTACAGCCGTTGCCTGCTGCACACATGCTGAGGAGGCGCCCAGCTCCGCAGGCAGCACAGTGAGGGGAGCTAGACGCGAGTGTCGGAATACGTCGCGATGGCCAGGGATCATGGGGTGTGAGTGCTGGTCACACGAGAGAAGCGTGGTGGGGGCAGAGCCGTCATACCTGCCAGCGGCCTTTCAGGTCCTCTTGAACCTTCACTGGACGACAGTGTGTTGGCTTCTCTGTTCTCGGTTTTATTGCAGCCCCTGCGTTCTGCCTTTTTGGGGACAAAAGGCAAACAGCCCCGGGCCTGCGCCACACCGGGCCGCCCGTGCCCTCCGCCAGCTGACGGAGGTGTTTCAGACATGCTTTCTCCTCCCAACTTCGCCTCTGTTCTCCGCGCCGCTACGAACCATTTATCTTTCAGAATGGTGCAGTTTCTTTAAGAATGTTTTCTTCTGAGACTTTAAACTTCCTCTCTGCTCCTCTATTAACTGTATTTCAGTTTGATATTTGTAAGCACTGCGATCAGCTTCACACATGCCCTTTTATAAGGTCACTTCTCTGGTAAAAGGCTCTGTGGGGTTTTCTGGAACACTTCACAAGGCGCTGCTAGGAGCAGCCGTGGGCTTCCTGAGGGCCAGGTGTGTCCTCAGCCGCGGGCCAGGGCTGCGCTCCCGGCGTCCATCTCCCCCTTGCTCCGCCGTCTCCTCTCTCTGGATGTGAACGGTGCTTTCACCCGTGGCCTGGCCCGGAGTGCAGCAGGTTTACTGTAGAGATTCCTGTGCGGTCCCAGGTCATCACCCTGAGAGGGAGCCTGGTAAGACGACCAGAGATCAGTGACGCAGGACTCAGGCCGCGCGTGCCCGTGGCACCGGCGGACCCTCGCTCCCTGAGGGCCAGTTTCAGGTTGGCCTCTCAGACGGGAGGGCTGGCTTGCTGAGGCCTCCTGCACTAATGCTCATGGGGCTGACTTAGAGCTACAGACAGGCCAGCCCCTCTCCGTGTGGGGCGCCAGGGGCAGGGTCTTGGGCTGGCATGGAGCCCCCGAGTCCCGACCTGGCTGTAAGCGGGGCTTCCTCAGGAAGGATGTGGAGCAAGAACAGAGGGGAGCAGAGCTCTAGAAGGGGGGCACCGCAGGACGCTGGGGTTGGGAGTTCTAAACGAGGGACCCCACCTCCTCTGCACCCCCACCGCTCCGTCAGTGCACTGGGACATCAGAACGCTTTGCTGCTTGTTTGTGTTAGAATTTGCACTCATGTCGCAGGCCTCATTTTAGCTGATAAATACAAACACGAGGTCCTTCTCTCTGTCCTTTTGCGCCTGCCACCCCGTCAGAAACAAGATGCAGGATCCACAGTGCCGCTCTGTTCTTGCCCTCGGAGGTCGTGAGACGCCCTGTTGTACAGAACATTCCAGAGTTCTTTCTTAGTGCGGACTGTCACCCCTGAGCTCAGAGCTGCCCTAGGCGCCTCTGAAAGTGGAAGACGGGCAGGTGCCGGGGTCCTCAGTGACTCAGGCCGCAACTTCCTGTCCCCACAGATGGCGCCTCTGCCAGGACCCCACCCGCACAGGGTGGGCCGCCGCCCCTTGCCCAGATGGCCGCCCTCCTGAGCAAGCGGCTGTGCCACACGCGCCGGGCCTGGAAGGGCGCGCTGTCGAGCGTGCTGCTGCCCGTCCTCTTCGTGGCCGTGGCGATGGGCTTGTTCATGGTGAGGCCTTTGGCCATCGACTACCCGCCCCTCAAACTGACACCTGGCCATTACGAGAGGGCCGAAGCTTACTTCTTCAGGTAAGAGCCTTTTCCTTTTCCTGCAGAATTATGTCAGGACAGATGAAACCTAGCAACAGTTTTGACACTTGTAAGAATTTCAAACATACATGGTTTTCGTTATTTTGGAGGTCCGTGGTCACGAGGGTCAGCTCTGAGACGCTCTGGCTCTTCCCAGGAACTGTGTCCAGGTGGATGTTTAGGGCGGATGAGGCCGGCCTGGCCTCTGACCTGGGGGGACACCCTGCTCCCCCCCAGGGCCCCTGAGCCCCCTTGGTGGCAAGTGACAGTGCCACTGGCTGATGTGCAGAGGGCCTGGCCCACACCAGCCCACAGCCATGAGCAGGAACTCGGGAGGCTGGACATGTTCCTGCATTTTGATGCCCAGTGTCCACGGCACGTTAAGTGGGCTGTTTCCGGGGAGGGCAGCCAGGACTGAATTGTTCTGCTTTGGTCAGAGGTCTAACCATTAAAATCGTGAGCGTAAGTAGCTAGGCGCTAAGTGCTTGCTAACATTTGATGATGAGTAATTTGGAATTAGACTTAAACAAGTGCAGGAACGAAAGGGAAATGGGTAATAAGCCGTTCAGTGTGTCTCTGTTTCCTTTGGTTAATGCCTTCCCTCCTCTGCATGTCTTCATGTTCCAGGGGGCCTGGGTTTAACTGGGAGAGGACCCACGACAGCCCCGTACAGGCGCACGCCTGTCCCGTGCCCTCCTCCAGGGGCCTTCCTGCCTTCCGCGGCCACATCCCTTATTCCCCCTGTCCTCCGCGCTCACGGAGTATTTAAAGTGGCCGCACCGGTGTGTAAGACTGTCTGCTACTGCTTTCATTCTGGCCACATGTTCACATTTCTGTCACAGTCCTCCAGTCTGAACGAGCAGTGACTTTTAACTTTTTAATTAAAAAATGTGTCTTAAAGAAAAATAATACAAAACACAGGCTAGCCCCAAACAAAAACAAATAAAAAACCAATCACATGTAACCCCCGCAGTGTGGCCTACCGCACGCCTGTTGGTCTGCAGCCCTCGTGTTATGTGCAACACTTCAGCCACTTCATGTTTTTACGACAGCGAGGTCAGGCCCCAGCGCTCTGCAGCACGTGCGTTTTCACTCTATAATGTGTGTTCACCTATTTTTATAAATCAGGGCAGCCGCGTCTCCTGTCCTCACGGACGAGCAGGAGTGTGCTGCCCGGAGGTGCCACAATTTATTCAAACAGCTCTACGTTGGGACACATTTATTTCTATTTTCTGTTCTTTTTAAAATTTTGTGTTTTTGCTTTTTCTTTAGATGTTTGTTATTATTCATAGTTTCTTTGTGTGTTTATACTAATCCCTTTTGATTTTTGTGTATTATGAATACCTGCTACCGTTGTGTAATTATCCTTTTACTTTCTGAAAAGAAATTTTAAATAGTCAAACATGGGGTACCTACAAGATTTGGAAAGGTAGACACTATTCTCTTTTTGTTTTATTGAATATTCATCAATTTTCACTTTATTGGATAAGCTTGTATATATTGGCTTGTTTCTATATGTCAATTCCTATTACTTAACTTTGTTTATTTTTAGTTTAAGGTGTCTATTCATCGAATGGCTGTTTTTATTTTTATTGTGGTAAAATATATATAACACAAAGTTGACCCTTTTAACCATTTTTGTGTATGAACATTATTGTATTAAGTGCCTGCACGGTTTGAGTTCTCTCTGGGTGCTGGGCCCCGGGGGCCATTTCGTTAGATCAGCTGGTGGCGGCTCTGAGAGTGACAGAGTCAAGGCCAGTTCTGTCTCTGAAGAGCAGCAGGAGGGCTTCCAGAAGCTTCTGTGCTCCCAGGACGGAGGGAAGCTTTCCGCTTCCCACCGCCTCCCTGCTCAAGCGCCGGAAGCCATCTGTCCCCTGCAGTCCAGGTTTTTTCCTCCAGTCCTTGGGGGCAGGAGGCCGGGGAGGCTGAGGTCAGCCTTCGGGGGGCTGTGAAGGAAGTCCCTGAGGGCTGGGTCCTTCCTGGTCCGCCCGGGTGCCCTGCGTCTGGTCTTCAGGCTGCATCCACACGCAGCCTGCACGACGGGAAGATGGCCCTGGTTCAGCTCTGCCTGTGGTGACAGCCGCAGAGCGAGAGCAGCTGCCTGTCAGCACCAGAGGCCAGCGAGGCAGACAGGCTGGGTTTGCGAGAGATGGCGAGAGGTGTGTGTGGGTTCCTCAGCCCCCAGCAGCCCCATGTCTCTCTAGGTTGGTTTGCTCTGCATCTGCATCAGAATCATGGTGGGGGCGGGGGCTCTGGTTACCAACATCCAGACCTTTAAGGTCAGTGGTTCAGCCAGGCTGCTGGGGACCCCGGTGCAGGTCAGATTTCGAGAACTGCTGAGCTGGAGGGAGGAGCAGTGATGCCACTTAGGATTCACACCTAAGCACGAATTTTCAGTCCTCGATCTGGTTGGACAGACTTCACAGCCTTGTAAACAGCACGTTCCGATAACGCAGCCAGAGGGCGACAGTGTAGGAACGGGCATTTGAGTTTTATGGCGACAGGGACAATATAAAGACGATTTCTTTTAAAAAAGCAGTCACCTCTAGACCTAAGGAAACAAAAACAGTAAAAAGTAAACCATAACTTTAAATCTTGCTCTTAGTAATTATTCCCAGGAAACTACTTTATGGATCAATATTTTTTCCAGAAAAAGTATTTTAAACTTTTGTATGTGTTCTTGGGTTAATAGGTCAAAAAAGGGCAATCTAGAGAATTTTCACAGATGCCACAAATAATGTTTTCTTTTTACGGACAACATTTCAGTGGAAAATATGTCTTTCCTTGTAAACGTATTTTCTCGTTCGTCAGAAACTTGAAAGCTATTTATACAGAGGTCTCACTGCTTACTTACAGGCGCTAACTTTGTTGTAAATTTCAGCATGTTTCCTCATTGAGTCTTTCTGGCCATAGCTGTAGGGAATCACATTAGGCCAGCTGTAAAAAAATTTGAGGTGACTTTGCACATAAGTATCTATCAGGCTAATAATACATCATTCTTTTTATTTTGGGGACAAGCGTTCCCAAGGATATCTACTCAAAAGCATTTTGTAACTGATATGATGTAAGTTCTAGAAAGGAATAAATCTATAAATTCAGAATTTTAATTGATCAAAATGAACCCCACTCCCAATCAGTCCAATTTAGAGAGGGTTAAAATATAATTTCCTCTACATTTTCTCAAGTCAAGACACTTTTTACAATTGCTGTATAAAATTTAGTACAGAGTTTGTTTCTATACCTCCCCCAAACTAGAAGAATAGCGTGTCGTATCGCTGGTGGTATCTTCAATACGGAAATTCAGTATGGGTGGCCTTGCTGGCACTGTTAACTGAATGACCTCTGAGATTTGTGCCAGAAAAATAAATACTAGAATTCAATGTGTACCTAAAGCACATGTGGGATTCTGTACTGAGGACTTCCTCCAGAGAAAATGTTATTCAATAGAGTTCACATATAGAAACGAAAAAAATATAAGTTGTTTTATTGCAGGGCTATGTAATAGAATGAATACTCAAACCAAACCAGAGCCCCAACATTAAGAGAACATTTGTATAGATTTTAATGTATTAACATGATGTACAATAATATGGAGCCTTTAAAATTCATTTTTTAAAACCATGCAAAAACACCAAAGATGGTAATATTATAATCGTGGAAAAATGAGAAAAAACAAAACAAAACAAAACACTACTAAGGTAAGTGTATCAAAATGCATATCTGGTGGCAAAGCTGTGCTTTTAAGGAATGTCTATCCCGTTGCAGCTTTGGCCTTACCGTGAAAACGGCGCAGGCTGAGCTTCGCCTGAGCTGCCAGGTCAGGGGTGCCCTGTGACCCGCCAGGCGAGCACTCACGAAGCCCCTTATTTCTTTGTCTCATGACCCGCAGCAGTGAGAGTGACGACATGGGTCTTGCCCGCGTGCTTTTGCGGAAGTTTGAAGACCAGGGTTTGCTCTGCGCCGACCCACACCCGGACCTGTAAGTATCAGATGCCGTCTGCAAAAGCGCAGCGCCTCCAATACCCCCGGGACAGGGCCGCCTCCGCCACGACTTGCGCTTCGTGCGCCAAGTTTACGCGAAAGGAGCTTTAGCCTCCCAGTAGGTTAGTGCCGAACAGGCCTAATGGGACCTGCCCTCTAAAATGACCGGAAATAAGCTACGTAATCGCCCCTTTTGTCCTTGGTAAACACACGGTTTATATTATTGCAAAAAGCATTAATCAATAATTAATAGCATTCAATTTCTTTAAGAAAACCCAAAGCTAAAACAAATTAAGTACTAATGAAGTATGAACTATGTATGAACAGTTATTTACTTTTAAGGAAAAGTATTGCATATGAAAATATTAATTATAATTCTTTTTAAACTAAAGGGACTTTAGAAGTCAGTAACATCAGTTTGGGAGTGAATTACTTTGAATATTTTTTCCCCCTAAGACTTGAAAACGATAATATAGAGAGGATCATTTTATGAAACCTTGATAAAGCCTGAACTTCTTCATGAACACTTTTCTTTTTTTTGTTTGACTTATTTGTTGAGGATCTGCTCTAAATGCAGTGCTGTGGTAGGAACCAGGGTTGATACAGGATATGGCCCTAGAGTCAGGGATGCAAACTTCTGGGTAGAACAAATGGGGAAAGTGATAAAAACCAGTAATGATGTAGTAAGGACTAAAGTGTATGTTTTTAAGCACTAAATACTAAAATCCAGACAATAATGCAAGATTGGCACTATGTTTCTGTAATTTGCGATGACAGATTTGGCCCATTAGTCATGTTGGCGGTTATTCCAGACTGAATAACTATTGAGGTCTCAGTAAGGAAGCATTAATAGAAAATTAATTATGTTGTGTTACTGTAGTCTTTTCTGAAAAACAAAGTAATTTATTTAACTAAATAAAAGCTGCTTTGGTGACGCTTTTATTTCCCTCCCCGCTACTGAAACGTGCAGGATGCAACTTGAGACATTGAAATGTAACCCGGGGCCCAAGTGGCCCCATCTCAGCCCCAACGTTGCAGCAAAGAAAAAGGAGGTGGCAGAAAAAAGACATTTCTTCATCTCGTTTCCCAAGAGGGGGAAAAAGCAAACCAGAATCAATGCCAAGGACAGCAGAGCACACTGAAAATTCTGTTTAGACACCTATTTAACTTCCAGTTTTTGACAGGAGTGGCAGTGGGTCCCCAAGGCCCCCCTCTCTGTCCCACAGAGCTCCCTTCCGGGGCCCGTCTGCAGACCACCCTCCCGGGCTTCCCCTCAGCCTTCCCGCTTTCCAGGGTCTGTGTTTTGGTTTTCTGTTTTCTTTGTGAAATCAACCTAGTCTGTCCTGAACTTATTCTTTTCATAACCATTTTTACGCTTTTTCTTGGTCTAAATAACAAAAGCCTGTGTGTGGGGGGTTGGGGGGCTGCCTCCTACAATGTGTTATGAATACTTCCATTAATAATAATTTAGGTCCATGCTGCACAAAGAAGACTTGATTTACTACGGTCCCAGATCAAAGCACAAAATTTTATTTAAAACAAGTGCGTTTCCTTCTGGAAGCCGTACCTGTGACCTGGTTGATAGAAGTGGCGCGTTTCTTTTCACTGCACTGGGCGTCTCTCCCACGGCTTCTCCTGCCCAGAGCAGGGGGCCTGTGCACGAGCTCCGAGGACCCGTCTCCTGAAGCCTGGCCTGGACGAGCGCCTTGCCTCTCAACTGCCACTTACTCTCCCGAAAATGGGGACCACAAGAGGCTGGGTAAAAATAGCTCGCGGTGCCTGTGGCTCAGGAAATGGGAATTTCCTCCTGTCTTTCCCAATTTTTGAGGAAATAGGAATAATTATCATTACTAAAGCAACTTTTGATTTATAAACATTAGTGAAAAAAAATCAAAGTATGAGGCCTACAAAGAAAAAACTATAGGAGAACTTGGGAATAAAAAAGGTTTTGACGGAGGGCTTCAGGTTGTTTTCATAACAATTCCTGTTGTACACCTTTCTTCACATGGAAATGGAATAATTCTTTTTTTTCACATGATTAAGTTGCTGTGTCATACCAGGGAAAGAAAGTAGCAGCTCACCGTGTCTATGAGCCGCTGCGCTGGTGCTGAAGGTCCCTGGGTTTGAGCCTCGGAGCCTCGTATTCACCTCTGGCCCCTGGGCCCCAGCGCAAGTCCCAGGGAACCCGGTCCTACAATTAGCACAGAGCATCGCTACATGGGATTGGAAATACTGTCGCTGTAATAAAACCTTGTCGTCAGGTTAACAGCTCAAGCTGTGCCTTCTGCTGCGGGAGACAGTGTGTGGGAGCCGCCGAGTCGGACCCAACGGTCCGCTGAGAGGTGCCGCTTTGCAGTGGGAAAGACCATTTGATTCTCTCCTTTTTCCTTAGGAACAGTTCTTCCTGCTGGAACGTGGATCCCTTTACTCACCCAAAAGTCCAGGGTTCCTGTGCCTGCCTGGTAGGTTTCTGCGGTGTTTTTTATCTTTTTTTTTAGTCTAAACCTCAATAAGAATGAGTTTACTTCCTTTATAAAAGCTTCATTTTTGTTAGCTCAGTGAGCCGCTGTGACTTTTTGGTTTACTCAATGAGCTGCTTCTGGGCAAACTTTTTTTACATAAAGTGCACGTTTGTGCAACACGAATGTTGTGTGGATTTCACAGTGGCCCCCCTTCATTAATCTTCAATAATGGTGAAGAAGCCAGAATTGCCCTTGGGGAGAAATTTCCCAAACTTTAATGCAGGATGACCTCAGGGCTCCTGTCATGCTATTACTTGAGCTCTGAGAGCTAGATATGAAAGGATGAGACCCCACTTAGCTGTTCTATGGTTGATTCCCACAAAAATGCGCACATGTAGATACTGTGCTGTTAAACTGGGGCCATAGCTCTGTAGTCTGCTTAAGGAAAACAATGAAATTTATTTGGAAATCCGATTGGAATTCATCTCAGAGGGACGGACTCTTCAGAGGTAACTAATGAAGGGCATGGGCCTGTCAGTCACAACCAGCCAGCTGATGTGGCGTCCTAACTGCCAGAGAGAGAAGCAAGGATTGCGGCTGATATTGATGCGGCTCTATCAGGGAGCGGCCACACGTGTGCAGTGCCCCTCTCCTCGGGCCGTGGGGACATCCCTCTTCCTCGTGCGGTGACTTTAGAAAGTTTCCTTTTGGGTGGACTCGGTCTGTTTTCTTCTCTTAGACCAAACGTCCACATGTGCGTGAGCGATGACAATGACACGGTGCCCATACTGGACACTCAGCCCCACTGGCCTTCGTGACGCCTTGGGCCTTGGCTGTCAGGAAACTCAGCTGTATTTGCCACTTCTTTGCAGTGACCAGCTGGCCTCTGCTGACGTTCTGCTGTGCACAGTGATTTGTTTTTTCCCTGCCTTGTGTATTCTAGTTAGTATGAAACTTTGGATTTTTCACTCTGTGCTCGTATGCTGCAGCCCTGATTTAATCTGTTACACGGGCACCTTTTATTACCAGCTACTACGGTCTGTTGCGATTGGCTTGGGTGCCAATGGCAAAGGAATGAGTTGCTGTTCTAGTATATGACCTTTTATAAACGTTCTGGGAGATGGGACGAAAGCGTTCGGAGCTTGGAGCCACCTGGGGCAGGGCGGAGCCTTTGCCGGGCAGCCCCTGGGCCTTGGCTGTGCTGGGCAGCCTCAAACCCTGTTTGGTGCTTGTGTCATGATTCCGAGCCACGCGAGCAAGTCGGGGCAGCGCCGTGTAACTTCTCCTTCAGGGACGTGGCACAGTCCGTTTGCGTTCCCAGGCCTGCCATGCACCTGTCACTAGCTGCCTCTGACTCTTTCAGGTTCGTCAGATTTCACCCCAGTGGAAACATTTACAGATCTCCCCAAACTTACATACAGACAAGGATTTGCGGTTCCCAAATAGAATTGACTGCAAAGGTCTCAGTGGAATTCTGGTCTAATTCTCAGGGTGGGTGCCTCTTATAGAAATTTGGGCTATCAGAACATATAAAAGTCCGTAGACAATTTTAGTAAAAACTGAACGCTAAGAAAAGCCACACAGAAAGGTAATGCCAGTAAACCTGTTTGTGAGTTGTGAGTAAGTCTGTTTTATCTCCCTGGAAACGCCAGCCATGTCCCAATGGAAGCGTCGCGCCCCCCCACCTGAGCAGCCGCCTGGGCCACACGCTGCTGAACCTCTCAGCCCTCCGCCTGGAGGAGTACCTGCTGCTGCCGAGTGGAAAGCCCAGGTGGGTGCAAATGGTCGCGGGCGTGGCTTTGGAAATCCTAGCGTTCCCAGACAGTGAAAAGTCGAAGCCTAACCTCGGTGCTCATAAAAACTCCAAGGAAATGCTGCCGCTTGAATAGGTTCCTCACGCGACCTCCGCTCTTCCGCATGGGGGCGTCGTGCCCCCCGAGACCCACCTGGAGGGGTGGGGCACATAAGCTGACCGCATAACGCAATCACGCCCCCTGTTGGGGTCCCTGTGCCCACAGCACCCAGCACAGCAGCCTGGGGCCTGGGCCTCGGTTCCCCTTCGCTGTTTTGCGGAAAGCTTTGCTTGTGTGTGTCCTGGAGCCCAAGAGGTGAGTGGAGCGGAGGGGTGGGAACCGGCGCTTCCCGGGGCTTCGAACCGCGTCCCGGCGCCGCTCCGCCAGCTCGCCCGGGCGCCACACGCGCGGCTGCGCTGCAGCAGGAAGGCGGCCGCGGCCTGCGCTTCGCCTGCCGCCCCGGCCGAGGAGGGCCCGCTGCCCGCACGCAAAGGAGCCAAGGCCATGGCGCCGGCGTCTCCGAAAAGCAAGGAGACGGGAGGCGAGGCTCACATCTGTCTCCCCTACCGAGGGTTTTGCATTCCATTTTAAGGAAGAACAGGGAAATTATGCATGCTCTATCACGTTACATTTGTGTGACAGAATGAGGGCTTAGTGCGCAGGCGCCAGGGGATCCTGCGGGCTTAGTGCACCTGCACTAGAGTACTATGAGGGCTTAGTGCGCAGGCGCTAGAGTGTTACTATAGCTTAGTGCGCAGGTGCTAGGGGCTCATGAGGGCTTAGTGCGCAGGCGCTGGGGTATTAGTACCGCTCCGTGCACTGGGGCTGGAGGATCACGGCTCTTCGTGGGTTACACGTTTGGATGGGGTCAGGGGAGGATTAGTATGTAATCCGTGGTGGAATTGAACCCCGTGACATTGAAAGGTTATTCTAGGGTGAACTCTTTCTCTAGTGCGCGTGTCTGATTGTCCTGTGGCATGATCTGCGGCCTTGTTCTGTTATCTCTGAAAAACAACGTCGCGTCTGGTTAGGAACAGCGCGAGGCGAGTCCGGGCTGGCTCTGTGGCTGCATTTCCTCTTTGCCTCTGACGTCCTGGCAGCATCCTCCCACCTGACAACCTGGCGCCTCCACGTATCTGTGAAAAGCCAGAATCTTTGCTTTGTGAGGGCAGGAGTGATGTGCCCGGGACTGAGGATAGCATCTGGCACTAAAAGTCACTCACTCAGCGTCCCCGGAGTGACCCTGAGCCAGGGAGACCTACCCTCACGCCTTTGCCGCAGTTTCTGCTGAGAGGAGGGGCGTTATGGTGGAAGTTTCTTCTTCAGTCTCCTTTTATCCAGAGAGAGGGAAACACATGTTTTACGTGCCTTTATTTGTAATGTCTCATATTTCTGGACGCTTAATAGGTGACAGGTACTACACAGCCCATGGGACATGGAGAGAAAGATATTATTTCTACCCAGGAAAAACTCACAGAACTGCATGAAAGATAAACGATCAAATAGACTGTTAAAACCCAGAGTGGCAATTGATAAGTTGTTGGAAATGTAGAGCAGTGTGCGAGCCCAAAAGAGAAGGAAATCTACCCCAACCCCCGTGCCCTGGGTCACCTTCCTGAAATATGTGCACTGAGGCTTAGGAAGCAGGAGTGGGGAAGGCAGAACCGTGCGCAGCAGGGCCACGCGGCAGAGCACGAGGCCGCGGAGCGCAGAACAGCTGACGTGCAGGAGAAGTGACCGTTAGTGAGAACAGCGCGCGGGTCGCCACGGCCAGGCCCACGTCCCGCAAGACGGCGCTCTGAGAGGCGCACCTGACGCCGTGGCGAGCCTCGTGCCGACCTGCCCCGTAAGCAGCGCCTCCCGGGGGCCCGCCTTTTGAGCCAGGCCGCTTTCTTCTGCATGACCCAGCTGTGTGGCTGTGTCACAGACGCACACGCTGGAAGGTCATCGTAACCAGTGTGGTCAGAGACGAAACGCCCCCGGTCCGAGTCTGCGCGCCCTGCGTCTGCACTAACGCCGTGTTTCCTGTTTCCAGGCTTGGAGGCTGGTCCTTCGGAGTGCGAATCCCGGGTCGCGTTCAAGATGCAAATTCAAGTATATCAAAACCCCAAACTCTGGCAAAGGTAATAGTTTTTTTTTCTTCTTCTTCTTCCTGTTTTAGAAAGCATTTAGGGAAACGCGATATCCAAATATATTTGTGGGCACAGGAGGAACCAGCTCAAATTCCAGTGTTTGTTACTGTGAAATAAAAACAGACATAACCCTGCCCTTGAAAGAAAAATCAAACATTTTCTTTTCGACTATACAGCAAATAGGTTACTGTTTTTGTTAAGCTCGGAATTCACCTAATCGATCTAAAAAAAAAATGAGAAGGTAAGCTACTTCTCAGGATGCCCATTGCCAGGACAACCGGCAACATCTCTGGTTTTCCTGGCGGCCGAGGGCGCCTTCCGTGTGTGCGCTACAAGCCTCATCTTCCAGAAGTCCAGGTGGAGCCAGAGCCAGCGCCAAGGGGGCGGCCACTTTGTACGTGGGGCCTGGCTTTTGAGCCCTGCCGGAGACCACCCCCGCTAATTCCGAACGGTCCCCTGGGCGGCACTGAGAATGGGCGGGGCTAGAGGAAAGTCACCTTTGTCCTCCAGTCGGAACTCAGAAATGGTGTCACAGCGGAGGTTTTCCCAAGGAAGGAAGTCAACGCAACCTTAAGATGGGGAAAGATGCAAGATTCAGCTTCAGTCTCAGCAGCTGGGGCAATAGTCTGGTGTTGGGAGAGGAGATGGTGGGCGTGTTGTGTCGACTTGTAAACCTGTCAAATAACTAATGGTGTGAGCCATCTGTGTGAGCCCGGGAAGGCAGGCGCCCTCCCCACTTCGTGGTGGGGACGCCCGTGCTCATGGAACCTGGTAAAGCTTATCAGAAGAAGGGCTGGTGCATGTTGGAGGTTTACTGAGGAATAAAGGCTCTTTACTGGCATTTCACGATATAATCCCCGATAAAAGATCTCAACATTCATACTTCACAGTACAACCCCTGAAGAAAGTTTTAATGGTTGTATTTCAACAGTGTAATCCCTGATGAAAAATTTAAGTAATTGCGTAGACTGTTAAGAAATCCCTCCGTCAGCTGAGCGTTGAAATCTCTCCTCCTTCAAAGGCGACACGAGTGAGATTTATAGCTCAATATGAACATCTCAAGATTCAGAGCTTGATAGAAAAGTCACCCGAAATGCATTTGCTGGCTTTTTGGGTGTGCGAGGTGGCCGTTCTTAGAATATCTGTGGTTTGTTGAAGGAATCTGTTCATTTCCTCTAGGAATAGTTAAGCCTTCGGTCTACACTAATCCTGCGCCTTTTGATTTGCAGCAGACGGCTGTGCCTCTGCTTTCTGGCGTCGGCACAGCAGCAGGGCTCGCGGGGACCCTGCCTGAGGGCCGTGCGTGACCCGTGTTTGCCGGAACCGGCTCCCCGTCCTCCTGGCTCAGCTTCGCCTTCTGTCTGGGCGTGTGTGACGTCTGCAGCTTTGACGTTGTCCACGTGAGAACGTCCGAACCTGTGGAGCATTTTGATAAGAATTCATTTGAGCCAAACTGGTGACAGTTGCTGGGGAGTTCTAGAGAGTGACGGTTTTGCAGCTTCTTTCGTGCATTCATGGCTAAGGACGGGACTAAGGAAGATGCCATGGAGGGGGGAGAAGCAAGGCGGGGTGGGATTACACAGTAGGTAGCAAGACTGTGTGTCTCCTGAAGGGGGTTAATTCAAAGGTGTGGGAGCCTCGAGGCACAGATAAACTTTCACTACAGTTAACTGCCTGGGGTGTGATGACCCCCAGGACCCGCCCAGCTAGATCTCATGACCAGAAGGGCCTTGGAGGGCACTTTTGCACCATTTTGTACCCACAGTGCTGTTGGCATGTGCTTTGCCAGGTGCAGGGATACAAGCCCGTGGTGCCCGCCCTTCAGTTACTGAGTGGCCTCTGGGGAAGGCGTGCGGTCCCGGCATGCGGTGGGCTGTGAACCCCAATTCCTCCGGTGCTGCTGGTGATGTCACATGTCAGATGACTGCCGGAACCCTCGGTCATCACCGACCAGCCTGTCACCTTGACCTTTAGGGTGTATCATAAGAGGTCATAGTCTTTTTGAAAATGGAACATTTGTACAGGAATAGGCTTACTATGAATAAATTCATTATCTTGTAGAATGTCGCTCACAGAACCTTTATGGGTTGTTTCAGTCACATCTTGAGTGTTTAGCTTGTTTAATCAAAACACCCGCTAGAGTGTGTACACTTCAGATGAAAGGGCCCAACACGTCTCACTGCCGATGTTTGGCAGACGTTCTATTCGCAGAGAATTTTACGCATCTGAATATTCATTGAGTGATTTCTTTTCGTTACAGCTACTTAGCTGCTTTTCTGAGGAAATGTTACTCATGATTCCCCCATGAAGGGTCTGGTTGGAGGTGTCATCATATGCTCCTTGAAGGAGATTAGCTTCCTCCTTCAGCTACTGGATTTTATTGTGTCCCAACTCACTGGCTGGCAGGGAAGGAGACCCCATGACTTATTTCCAGAGCACGTCCAGCGCTTCAGAAAGCCATTCTTGGGGGCAGGAGGGAGCTCTTCCTTTGAATTCTGCTAAATCTTAAATGTTAAGTTTAAGGTCATCATAAACAATGGATTATCTACTTAAAGAATTTGTAAATTTTCTCCCAGGTAAAGGCCAGTTCATAGAAAAAAATGAACATTTGAAGTTCAAAACCCCTGATACAGGACAAAGACTCCCGTTGTCCCTCATGTTTTCCCCTCCAGTTAAACAGGACGTGAGGGACGGGGCTGTCAGGACACCGAGTGGGGCGTTCCGGCTTCCCTAGGCAGGGCTTTTCTGCCACGTTAACCCATCCCTGACGCTAGCAAAGTCCTGTGTCTGTCCTTCCCAGAAAGAAGGCTGGCCCTTGTGTAGGTGTGTGTGAAGGAGCCCGGGCGACAGCGCGCAGATGCACGGATGAGTCACTGTGGTGGGTGTAGGGTGGACACACCTCTGCCACGTGACAGGCTCCTTCAGTCCGGTGTGGGCTTGTCCATCAGTGGGACCAGGCTTCACCCAGCTTTTCAGAGTCGTGTGTCTAAATTACACGCGTTTGTGAATCCGAGTTCACATTTGCATCTTAAAATGCTCTTGGTCCACAATCCCACTCTCAGACCAGCTTGGGCACAGCCTCCGCACCACTAAATGCCCTGGGTGCTGCGGTTAGAAGGTCCCGAGTGGAATGCCTTCTCCTGGGAGTTCACACGAATGGCTGGCAAGGGTTTCTCTGTGAACTGAAAACACCTGAGGGAGGGCTGAGTAGTGGCAGCACCTGTGGACGAGGTCAGGGTCTGTTTTCTGAGCTCCTAGTGAAGTGGGCTACCTGAAAAAGAACTGGGGAACGTGCCCTGTGTAGACAGAGCAGTTTTAAAAAACTACATGGACAACAGCTTCTGACCTAGCTGTTCTCATGAATACAACAGTTGCCACACAGGGAAGACAGTTAGAAAACAGTCAGTCGTAGTGTGATGAGGCTGGAAAAACAGGGTCTGGTCCTGACTTTGTATGAACTGTGACAGCTTGAGTAGACCCCCCAGCACTCACTTTTGGGGCGCAGCTCTGATTCTGCAGAGGCTTGTCTGGCACAGAAGATGGCAGGGTCCTGAGATGAGCTGTATGGTCATTGAACGAAGACTTAAATTTGCCAGTTAATTCACTGTATTCCGTTTTTTTTTTTTTAATCTGAACCATTCTGCCACCGGTTGCAGCTCAGCTCAGGCCGGGCATTGAACTGCTGTTGCTCAGAGCTCCACTCTTGAGCGAGCTCTTAACCAACTGAGCCACTCTGCTGGCCCTTCACTGTGTTCCTTGATGACACTCGTCAGCCTTCCAGACTGAAGGAGGGAAAAAAAAATATATATATATATATATATATATATATATATATATATATATACACACACTTTTATATATACTTAAAATTTATATATATTTATATACTTAAATTTAAAAATATATATTTAAATTTCCCTTAAAATACTGATATTTTGGAATACAGATACTGACAGTTCAATTAGTGTTTTTTGTGCTGCTTATTATCTCAGCCTTAATAACATTTTCAGTGCTCTGCTGTCTTTGTCACCTCTGTCCACTCCGGCAGGCGTGCTGCTTTATTCTCCATGCTCAACAGATGTGCAGTTCAATTTATTTTGAGAAATAATGTTCCATATTTAGTTATGAATTTGAAAGTAATTTTTAAAAATCTTTTTCCCCACTTTTAATTTGCAGGTCAAATTTCATTAGCTTACCAACTGAGAAAGAAAAAAGTGAAGGGCTTAGGTTCTTTATTCTCTGTGAGAATATAATTACAGAGCAACATTCACATTTGTTCTGGGGAAAATTAATCTATTTTTAGCTGTAAATTATATGCTTGAGATAAACATGAAATTAGCAGCCTGGAATGGACTGCTTCCTGTCAGCCAGGTGGACACTTCCCTCTGAGGTCTGGCTCGGGGGCTGTGGAGGCTCACGGACACGCGTGTCCCTCGTGTCTGAGGACAGCTGACGCATCGCCGACACGGCTGATGGGCGAGAGCCACTGAGTTGTCTTTCTCTTGCAGGTGTGGTACAACCAGAAGGGCTTCCACTCCCTACCTTCCTACTTAAACCATCTGAACAACCTGATTTTGTGGAGGCTCTTACCCCCTTCTGTGGACTGGCGGCAATACGGTAATGCCATTTTCTATGCATTCTAACTCTGCTTTCGAAAGACAATGCTTTTAAAAGCAAGAGAAGCAGAAAGCATTCTGAATTAGAACACGAAGAGCGATGAGAAGGTTTGTGTGGGGCGGTCACCCCGTTTCTAAATTCATACAAGGTCGTAGGCCCTGTTTGTCTTTATTGGTGTCATAAAATGTTTCCCCTCCTTGAAATTATGACCTCATCTGCACGATGAAGGGAATAAGTTGACTTTAGAGTTCTCTCCTTGTGACTTTAATGTCTTCCAGAAGGAAGACTAATTTCCCTTTTTAAGGACTACCATGTGGGATGCTGTTAGATACGGTTATAGATACTACAGATCACCCACGAGTGTCGGGAAGGTGAACATCATAACTTGTTTTATGCTGGGCCCTCAACACATCAATTGTCTATGTTGATTGTGGAAACACAAAAATTTGAATGCCTCTTACATGAACAATACATCTTATATTAGAGAGAGAACAGAGATGTATGAAATTATCCCTGAAGGTCAAAGAGCTGCTCAGTGAAACACACCATAATATTTAGTGGGTGTAGCCAGGAGGCAGCCAACGTGAAGGCATGGGATTTTTTTCCCTAGTGGTTTGGAATAAACATGAAGTAGAATGGATGAGGTTTGATGGAATAAAAGTAGACAAAAATTAGAATGCCTTCTCATTAGCGCCAGACTGGAGAGAGAGGCAGATACGGTTGACAGGAGCTTCTGGCTGGGGAGCGCTGACGGGGACGTGGGAGCAGGGGTCACAGTGTGACGGCCGGCGGGTCTGCGGCACTGACGGGGCAGGACAGAGAAGAGGCGGTGGGGCAAGGAAGGTCCCTGTTTGGGGTCAGTAAATACCAGATGTGCTGCTTAGTGATGGAAAGAGGGGAACGGAGGGGGCTGGGGTGGAGCGTTTCAGGGCGCAGCCGCACGGACCCAGCGGTCACTCTGGGTCTCAACACGAAATGGAGGGGCTGAGGACAGAGGTCATTCTGCTCCCTGACAAGAGCAGGGACGGGTGCGTGGTGTGTCTGAGCTGCTGTCTATCTCACTTCTGATTGGTAGTGTTTACACTGTGGCCCCTTCTGGGGGGACTCAGAGTTTGGAACCCCCCTAATTATAGAATGGAAGTGAAACCAGGCAACTCCTCAGGCTTGTTTAGAGGGGCTAAACAGCTTTCACAAGAATGTAAAATATGAAACTTGCCAGTTAATAATTTTAAAAAAAGTATTTTATAAGGAAAAATAAATATATGAGTAATAAAATATTTAAAAATTGAACTTTAGTTTTTAAAGTAAGCTGTGTTCTCCTTATAACTCATCTCTTCAAGTAATAATGGAAGGAAAATTCTTACTATGAAAAATAATTACATTTAAATGTTATAAAAGTAGGGATTTGAAACAAAAATTAGTGTGGACTTCAATGATACAAAACAGTCTGAGGGTTTTATTAGGAACAAGAGATTTCCCACCTCCTGTAATCAACGAGGTGATTGGATGCTGGGCTCATAGGTACTTCCCACGGGCGTGTTCTGAAACGGAGACTGTTTCACATTTCCACATCCTTCCATGTACCTCTCCCGGTTTTGCTTCCACCTGTCGCCTGTGGGGTGCAGATGCTTTCTGTGGTCCGCAGCAGATTCCCGTGGTGGCATTCGCAGACCTGTTCTGCCGGGTCTTACCCCGTTGAGTTCAGGTGGCACTGAGAGCATTGACACGCCCTTCCCACTTCTGCCAATTACAAAGCCTGGCCGGGGGGGAGGGGTGCAGAGGCGCTGCAATTAAATTAGATTAAATTAAATTAAATTAAGCAAGACCTGGCCAGTTGTCATCTAAGATGAACAGGTGACATGTCCTTTTGGAAATGATGGATACGATCACAGGTTTTTCACACTACAGTAGATATCCACAGGCAACCACAGAGGAAACAGTCAAGAAAACGAAAAGGCCAACCTATGGGATGGGAGAAAATATTTTCAAGCCATATGTCTGATAAAGTTAAAAATATATATCTATATCTAAATCTATATATCAATACATATCTATGTATCTCCTGTAACTCAGTAGCAAAGAAATAAATAACTTGAATTTAAAAACTGGGCAAAGGACCTGAACAGACATTTCTTTGAAAAAGACATACAGATGGCCAACAGGCACATGAAAAGATGCTCAACATTACCAATCATGAGTAAAATGCAAATCAAAACCACAAAGGGTCTAAGCCTCAAAACCACAATGAAGCATCTCCATCTATCTGCCAGAATGGCCGTCATCAAAAAGACGAGATAACAAGTGCTGGTGAGGACGTGGAGAAAGGGAACCCTTATGCCCTGTTGGTGGGATTGTGAGTTGGTGCAGCCACTGTGGAAAACAGTATGGAGGTTCCTCAAAAAAAAAAGCAAAAAAACCCCACAAAAAACAAATCCCCCCAAAAACCAAAAAACTGCCACATGACTCAGCAACCCCAATCCCACTTCTGGGTGTTTATTCAAAGAAACTGAAGTCAGGATCTGGAAGAGGTCCCTGCCCTCCCATGTTCGTTGCAGAATTACTCACAGTTGCCAAGACATGAAGCCACCTAAGTGTCCACCGACAGATGAATGGACCGACACAATGCAGTGTTTACGTTCATGGACCATTCCTGAGCCATAGGAGAAAGAGTGCACGGAGCTGAAGACGGTGTGGATGGACCTGGAGGCCACTGTGTCCCACCAAAGCCCAGCTCAGATGCCACCTCCGTCAGAGCCCTTGTCACCCACGCAGGAGGAGTTAGTGGCTTCTTCTCTTTCCACCTCCCCCCCTCCACCCCCACCCCCACACAGTAGCTTCTAAAATCCATTCACACAGCTGTTTTTAAAAAGCACTACTAGCATAACGAATGTCTTCCAGACACCGTGTTAGGCCATGGAAGCAGCTGGTTCTTCTCATTGCTGTCTACAGCGCGCTTGCTAATAAGAATGTAAACCCTCCATGGAAGGCGTTTCTACTGCTGACGTTGGTGTTTTCTGCAGCGCTTCTCCGTGGGCGGTATCAGCAACGTGCGTTATTCACATAAAGGATGTTTGGCGCCATTATTACGGGTGACTAGTGGATCTCATTACAGCAGTCATGTTCTATGAATTACCCGCAAATACACGTTTTGTAGGAGGAATGCACCGAAAGGGACGACTTGAGTTGGAGCCAAGTTCAGGATCTTGCGCTCATGAGGGATATGGAACAAAAGCACAGATGTGCACTTTTACAGATGACAAATGTACGGAGTCTGGAAACCATAGGAGATGTAGCTGCAATGAGAATACTAAATGCGAAAGCTAATTTTATACACTTATGCATTGCTGAGGGCCAGTGTGCAGAAAGAAAAGCCAGAATATAAATGATAAGAATAATCAAACGAAGACAGATCATTGCAGTGTATTCAGATGCACAGCGTCCTTCTGAAAACCTTTGAGGGGATGTTGGCGGTTGCCCAGCGAGCTCCTTCACACACGGGTGATGCTGACACGGGTCAGCAGCCCCTGCAGTGGTCGCTCAGATGCTGTTCTGAGCACACGTAGCACAAGGGAGGTCAAACCCGACAACAGAGAGTCTGTTGCAATAATGCGGTTTTTACAGTGCGGGCTTCAGAGCCTGTCCGTGCAGAAACGGATCAAGTGGGATCCAGAAAATCGGGACCGTAAATCTCACTCAGCTGCGGGTTACGTTTGGCCTTAGATGAGCCACTGCGTTTCCCTCCCCAGCCCCCTCACTCTCCATATGGCCCCGGCCCCCAGAGTCCCATTTGAACAGGGTTCCTGACCTGGGAGACAGATCACAAGCCCCCCCCCCCCGGATTTGTAAGGGGGGCCTGACTTCTAGAGCCTCCCTGTTTTGAGGAGCCGAGGGCTGTAGGGAGTGTGTGAGCAGCCTGTGCAGCGTGCATTTCCCCCCCCTGCCGCCCTCGCGGAGTCCGGGAAACGGGCTCTCAGGGAGGGGGCACGTCCAGCTGGCTCCCCTGTGCTGTTTCCCTCATTACTCTTGTCCTTGGCAAAACAGGCACCCAGTTCCCTTATTTAAGTTAACTCTATGTCTCGCCCCCTCTTGCAAAATAGAAAAAAATCTCAGCACTGATGTAGAAAACTGTTAGCTTGATTTTGAAATATGTTTAGCCCTGCAGAGCTGCTTCTGCAGAATAACCATGGTTCTGAAAGCATCTGATGTAGCAGTAGCCAAATTGCAATATTAACGTCAAAGCTCGCCCAGCGTCTGTAAAGCGAAAGCCGCCTGGGTTTCCCTGGGTTTCTGTGCCCGCCCCTCAGGCTGCCCTGCTTTGTGGTCAGTGGGCAGCCCACCTGGGTTTGCACTGTGCTGGGGGTCCGTGTGCCTCAAGGACTGCCTCCTTCCCCGCCGGGTCCTCACATCCTCCCTGTCCGTTGTTAGGTGCCATCCTGTGATTGGGCCGTGTCCCCCTGGGATGGAGGGCACCTGGGTGGTGCTTGTTGACTGAATTCTCAGTCCTTGGAAGGAAGAGGGTCAGATCGTTATTTGACCCTTGATGAAACTCGTGGATGTCTGGTGGGCAGATTTCCTCCCCCCAAATGAGAACAGAATCAGGATGTTGTGTGATTCTGTCCGACACGCTGTTGTCATACAAAAGCTGGTGGTACGTGCCTCGTGGGACTCACGTCCCTGAAAGTGATGGAGGACTTTCCTGCTATGTGATGGCCTCTCTTCTTAAGCACTGTGGCCTACGGCCCTTTCTTCTCCATATCTTACTTTTTAGAGAATTTCTTAATTTCATAGCAACGTGGGGATAGTGAAGTGAGAGGTAACGCAGCGGTGGACTTTAAAGAAGTCCCTGGCAACCTTCCTGTCGCCTTGAGCGCGGAGCGGGAGGCTGTGTTCCAGGGCTGTTAGGATCCCCCGTGGGGCCCCAGGAGAGGAACCGCAGAGCATGTGCGCCTCTTCAAACGCTTATATTTAAATATTTACTCTGTAAAATCTCTAAATTGTAGGGACTGGAAAGCCAACGCCAAATGAAAAGCTGTGTCCTCCCTGAATTATTTAGGAGCGAGTGCTGGGAAGGGGGGCTCGCGATTCTCAGACCTGGGCAGGGGCAGGGCCCTCGGAGGCTGCTCGCCCAGGGACCTGCTGTCTCCAAGGCGGGGAGGTGACTGCATCAGCCTCTGTCCCGCCGCCCTGGCGGAGGCCTTCCTTCTGAGTTGGCGTGTGGCTGGCGCCCCTGGGGTTCTCCGTGTGGAGGGAAGGTCTCTGGCGCCCTGTGTGCTCACAGGCCATGTGAGGGGAGAGGTGCAGCCCTGGGGCTGCCTGTGTCGGGAACAGGCCACCCATCCGGGAAATTCGCGGCGTCCCTCTGCTCCTGTTTGGCTTCAGGAAACGGGGGTGTCTGAGCTGGACCACTTCCCACGGCCCCTGTCCTCGTCCCCGTCCCTGAGGAGTCTGCAGTTGTGGGTGCTGCAAGCTGCCTTCTGAAGAAGCACACGCGTGTGTACGAGCTCCCGCAGCACGGAGCTTCCGCCTCAGGTTACGGACCGAGAACACATACCGGGAAACGCCCACAGTGGGGTCTGGCACATCGGGGACGCTCACCGCACACACGCACTGCTGAGAGAGGGGACCCCATGGACTCCCGCCTCCTAGATGAAAACCCTAGAAGAACGACACACATCCAGGACGTGTGCGGAGATGAAGGGTGGTAGATTCATCGCAGGGACAGAGGGTGCAGAAAGCAAATGTCACAGCACTGTTTCCAGTCTTTGTGCCGTGAGTCTAACGGCTTAAAGTAAGAGAAGACATTTGTGCAAACTGATCAAAATACAGATCCAGCCACGGTAGTGTAAGATGTTATTGTTGAACTCAGCACAAGAGCGTCTGAGCTTTTCGCTGCAGAGTGAGCAGCGCAGGGCACTTGACCTCCAGGCTGCTGCCTTCCCACCGTACAGATATGATAAACCCTTGGAAACTCCGGAGCGTGTGCAGAAGGGGGAGCAGGAGACGCTGGGGAGAGAATGGGGGGGCTCCTGGCGCCCAAGGCTGTGCTCCCGATGGAATCCTGACGCGCAGCTCAGAAGCTCTGTCGGAATTTCTGCAAACAGCCTGCGTCCTGAGTGATGCCTGCCATACGACCATGCGCTGATTTCCGTGTCTTGTTGGGCACCGGCCCTTCTCCCTGCTCACAGCACGTACGGACTGAGGACCTGAGAGCCGCCCCTTCCTTCCTGGAAGCCCCTCTGCAGTACAGGGGGGCCTTCCGACCGCGTCATCATCGGGGGGACACGAGACGGGTGTGGGGAGGACAGGGACTCGAAGGACGAGGCAGCACACCTGCAGTCAGTCGTGGGCGTGACAGCCGTGTCCTGAGTGGGGGCAGAGGAGAGTGTGGACGTCGCGCGCCTTACTGTGAAGAGCGTCTGTGTCCAGATAAAGACATGGACTCATGTTTTCCTTTCTGTTTCTTTGTGGAAATCCTCCCGGGCTGCTGGAGGGAGGGCTGATGGTGTTGCGGAGAGGTGAGCTGAGAGGTGGCGCAGGTCAGGGTGGCCCAGGCCCGCTGCTCTGCAGCGGCGATGGTGACAGGACTGGCAGCTCGTGGATGTGTGGGGTGGAGGAGAGGAGAGCAGGACGACTGGCCCACGAGTCCCGTGGGCCGCTCTTGGTCGTGGGCAGGCCGGTGGAGGAGCACGCTGGCTGCTGAGCACAGGCTGTGTTCTGGGTCCGACACACCCCCTGGGTCTGTGGGGTCAGAGGTACAGGAAACACCCACGTCCATCGGGAGACCTGAGAAGACCCAGGGAGTGGAGGGCGCAGCGAGGAGCGAGCCCAGGGCGGGGCTCCGGCCGAGTTTCTTCTGGGAGAGGCGAGGAGTCCCGCCAAGAGAGGCTCTGCTTCCCCCGCTGGGCAACGGCAGAGCCGCTCCAGCACGAACATCTGGCGTTAACGCAGGCACACAGGCAGTGCCCTTCCTTTAGGTGCAGCCATAGAGGGTCCCAGGCCACCCGCACTTTTGTCAGCTGGCTGTCACTTTGAGGGTTCCCACGGCCCCCAGTAACTCAATAGACTGGCTCGCAGACCTCAGGAAAGCGCTCTGCTACGATTCCTGTGAAGGATGTGAGTCAGGAGGACCGGCCACGTTCAGAGACACGTGCGTGGGGCCGGGTCTGGGAGGAGGCCGGTGCCGTGCCCTCGTCCTAGAATGGGCAGGTCACTGGCCGCACGCGTGGACCCCGTCTCCGGGCCTCTCTCCCTCCAGAGGCCAGGTTGGCCCTAAGTTCCAGCCCTCTCACCATGGGCTTTTTCTTATTTTTTGAACCTGCCTTTTGGGACCAACTTTTCTCTCTAGAACATTATAGATTAAGTTCACTTCCTGTGCTCCAGGATGACTCTTTAGCTATCTGAAGATGTTTTCATGCCCCTCCTGCCCCCGGGGTGTATGTGTGTATGTATTTAGGTTAACCAATTCCAATTGTCTTCTGTGTTCCTAAAATAATATAACGTCCAGATCTTTACTCAGCTAACTGTGTTTTCTGCATGTTTTTAATCTAGAATGCTTTTGTTCATGTGTAGAGCCTGGAGCACCGCACAGCACGGCAAGCACCGCCCCCCCCGCCCCCCCACACCCCCAGCTCCCAGGGGACATTTGCCACATCTGTGGGGGTCCCACACTTTATAAGCACGGTCAGAAGTCCCTTAACTCCTGTGCAGCCCTGACAGGGTTTGTGGGTGCTGGGCTGCTCGTCACGTGCACTGCTGCTTGTGAGCCAGCGTGTCAGCCGGAAGGAACGGGGGCTGGCAGACGCTGCAGGGAGACAGACGGGAGACGTCAGGTTCGGGGAAAGAAAGATGCAGGAGAAAGACAGGTGGGCTTATGGGTCCAAACAGGTGAGGGGCCAAGACCACGCAGCTCAGTTATGACGAAATGTGTAGATGAGCATGGGACCAGGAACCCACACAGCAGGCCCTCGGCACACTGGGAGCCTGGAGGAGACATCTGGGCGATATTAATTCATAATCAAAGAAATTGTTCTGGAAAGTTAGGAGGACTTGCCGAATCGCTAGTCCCGTTATTCTTTCCACTGTGACAGAGCTTGCTCAGTGTGGCTGAGCCCACAAAGAAGCAAGAGGCTGGCGTAGCTGGAAAGGGAAGGGGAGCAGGTGGCAGACGGCGGGAAGTCAGGGTGCCTGGTGGCAGAAACGCTGGGTTCTCCGAGCACTGTCTTCTCTCTGCGCTCCATACCTTTTAATTTATTTGTGTTTACTTGCACCCCTATGGTGCTTCTGTAAAGATTAAATGTGCCCTCACCAGGGAAGGCAAAATGCAGATGACAGGCTAATGCAGTGTTGCTGGAGATGGAGCCGGGAAGTTGTGCCCGGTGTGACGGCCGCCACTTGCAGGCCCCACACTTAGTGCCAACATTGCAACAAGCGATCAGCAGAGGGAGAATTGAGCAGCCTCATAGTTGACAATAGATGAAAGACAAGTTGTTGCCTGAAGTTACAGAGTTCTTGTTGATACAGTATTGAGTGGAATGTGCTGGCGTGGAAGAGCACCCCTGTTGGCCATCATGATAAAATCCTTCTAATTGATGTTGATGCCGGTTTCTCCGTGTCAGCTGCTGGCATTGCACTAATGCATGAGCTCAAGAAAGAAAGCAAAGCAGAACAAACAAATCAGAAAACATAACGGAGCTGACGGAGTGGTTCCATCTTCTGCCAGACTCGGTGTGGTCTAGAGGTGGCTTCTGAGGACTGGCCTGGATTCCGTCACATCGTCCCATTTCCATGCTGTTGCTTAGCCTTTCTGAGTCTGATTTCTCACCGTAAAACATGGATGACGTGCTACATGGGCCACAGGGCGCGTCTGAGAACCAGACAGCCGAGGGTGGTCCCTTGTGGGCATGGGCTGGCCGCAGAATACGTGCCGGGTATGTGTCGGTCGGCACGAGGCAATGCCAGCGACAGAGGCCCCAGCACAGAGGGGCTGGGTCGCGGTGAGGCTGCCATTCCTGGGCGCCCGTGGGCCAGCCTGGCGACGCCAGCCGGAGATTCCTCATGGGCACAGGCCTGCGTGGCTTGGAGGTTGGCTGCCCGCTGGCCGTGCGGGTAGAGGGCTCTGGGCTCATATTTCCATTTGTCATTTGCAGGAATAACGCTGTACAGCCACCCGTATGGAGGGGCCTTGCTGAACGAGGACAAGATGTGAGTGGAAGGGATGTGGGAGGATGAGTCCGACCGTGCCAGGACGTCTGTGGGCTGCTTGGGAGGGGCGGATGGATTCCTCTTCCGCGCTTGCCCTGAAGGACGTGGGCACATATAGTTGGTGGCACAAGGCTGGGTGTTCTTTGCAGAGTGCGAGGACAGTGCTTATTCAAAGAGGAGGTGCGCTGACCGAGCTTAAAACGGATGAGCTGGTTCCCGGGGGGTGATCGCCCCGAAGCCCACGGGACCCCCACAGCTTCCGGGTACCTCTTCCGGTTACAGTGCTGAGCAGCGTTCATACAGGGCTGTTTGTCATGGCTCCTTGACAGTGTCTCAGGCAGGACTCCCCCGGGCCCAGGTGGAGCGCTGGGCGGTGATGGCCGGTGCTCCAGGCGTCGGTCCTCATGGTCTCCTGAAAGCCGCAGTGCGTCTGCCTCCCGCCTGCGTCCCCTTCCCCTTCTCCGTCACATGGTCGTCTAACTTTCACTTACAAATCGGTAATAAGTACAGCTATGGTTTATGGATGACCTGTGACCTGCCGACTGGGCCGTAGACACAGACAGGCTGGTTAGTGACGATCGCTCCTGGAGTGTCACGTGGCGGGAAGCACGTGCTGCAGTTTGTCCCACGTTCACGCCCTGACCTCCGGGGTACTCCTGGTGGTCCTGCCGGCTGCCCAGGTTCTGGGTGGAGGCTCATTGGTGTCTGTCCTAAAACAAGGTGTGGTGGGAGGAAGGTGTGGACGGTTTGGGACGTGTCCCTTCGTCACACCGGCCGCCTGATGGGCCACCTGTGCCCTGGGCCCTCCTGAAGGGCCGTGACTAACTGGAGAGGTGTCAGCCATGACCCAGTGAAAACGCTGTGGAAAGTGTGCAGCGTGTATCGTCACAGAGCACCTCAGCCTGTCAGAAATCTTCTCGGTATGTGGAGACAGTAAATTCAAAGGTGGGCAACGGGCTGTGGCCCTGGAACTGATGCCGCCCCGCCTCCCTGGTGGCCACGCTGTCCAGCAGGATGGGCCCAAGCCAGGCAAAGGCCACAGCCCACCGCAGTGCCCACTCTGTGGATGGATGTCTTCCATTTTATTTGGAAGTCGGGTTCAAGGGTCCAGAGGAAGCTTTGAGAGAGGCAGACTTGGAAATGCCCCTCACCTTAGCGATCCTCAGTTACGTTTTCTGTAAGCGGGGACAGTAATCCATTGCCTCAGAGGGTCCTTGAGGGGCTTAACGAGAGACAGGGCTGGGCGCTCGGCCAGCACCCTGGGCCGGGTCTCCGTCCCTCACGCGTGGTCTTCACGTCTGTTGCCCATTGCTGGCTCTTACGACCAGGAGGAGGCCGTGTCCTTCACCTCCCTCTGATGAGCTTCTGTCTGCCTGCAGCCTGGAGAGCATCCGCCAGTGTGGCGTCGCCCTCTGCATGGTCCTGGGCTTCTCCGTCCTGTCTGCGTCCATCGCAAGCTCCGTGGTGAGGGACCGGGTGACCGGGGCCAAGCGGCTGCAGCACATAAGCGGCCTGGGCTACAGAACGTACTGGTTCACGAACTTCCTGTATGACATGGTAGGATTCTGGGGAGACGCCCTGCGTGCCCCACGCCGGGATCTGTGTGTGTGTGTGTGTGTGTGTGTGTGGGGTGGTGGTGGTGGTGTTTTTTTTGGAGGGGGTGTTGTGGTGGACGTGTCCACCTGTGCACGGAAGAAAGGATCATTTTAGTGGCAGTGTGTTTCCTGTTAAGCCGCCTTTCCATCTGTCCTTTGGGGTGGCTTCGTAAGAAAGCAGGCTGACGGACACAGCTGGAGACCTGGGAGGTCAGAGACCTGCACAGAAGTGCAGCTTCTTACCAGGAACATGAGGAGAGAGAATCACCTTAAATGCACTCTCTTCAGGGGGGTGGGAGGTGAGAGAGAGGTCATTCCCCGTGACCTGCTGCCTAAAGCCACCCCCACTGTGAGCAGAGCCTCATGTCCTGATGGCGCAGCAGCCTTGGCATGTCCCCTGTGAGTCCAGCTGTCCGTGGAAGCTTCCAGACCCCTGTCTCCAGCCCTTTGGAGGACAGCAGTGTGGTGGTGTTTGTTCCCTAGAATTGAAGACATTTAACTGGAATACAAAGCACATGTTCAATGGTAAACACCTCCTTTCATTGTCACTTAGAGTTGTCCTTTCTGTGGTACAGTGACATCCTTGTCCTTGTACACATGACTCCTGTGTCACAGAGCACCTGACTTCAGCCTGCAGAAGGCGGGAAGGGCCCGACCCTCACCGAGCACCCGCCATGCGCCAGGGCCACACTAGCCGCCCAGAATCCCATGTCGTGTGTGCTCCTGGGCGCTGGCTGTGAGTTCAGCTGACACTTAGGAACACGTAACCTGGGTGTGTTTGGTCTCTGTGGGCCACAGCTGCGTGGCCTCAGCCTACAGGAAGTCCTTAGTGTGGACAGGTCCCCAAACCTTCACCTGGGGTGCTGGGTGACAGGGACGTTCCCAGCCTGTCCTCACGTTTCTGTCCACTAGGTCTGGGTGGGACTGAGTGTGCACGTTGTCAGCCCCCGAGGAGATCTGTGAAGCCCCGCCGAGACTGAGAAAGTCTGGGCCTCAGCCGTCTTCCCTGGAGGGCCCTCTTGAGTCAGGAGAGGCAGCGACTCGCCTGAGCTCCTCCGTCCCGCAGTGCAGGGCCAGCTCTGTCCCAGGGCGCACGCCGCTCCTGGCTGCTCCCTGTGCCGCGTGCCATTGAGCGATGTGCAGTGCCCACGGCTTTCCCTGAGAAAAGTGGGGAGGGACACCCCAAGACAGGATAGGAGCTCGCAAGGAGGGCCACGCACCCAGGACACCAGGGGTCCCAGAGTAGCCCCTCTTCTCTGCAGGCCTCGGATTGTCACCCCTTTACCCCTCCTGCCAAATGGCTCTCCTTCATGCTGTGGGGCCAGCGCAGGGAGGGTCTTCCTGGTTGATGGTTTCCTCGCCTTCAGCCCATCGCTCCCTCTCTGTGCCGTCTAGTCAGTCATTTAGCAGGTGGACTGGAGGCTCTGCCGAGGTCCCGGTCTGTCCTGGAGGAGATGGCTCTGGGTGGCTGTGCTCGTTTGCCGGGGCTGAGGGCAGTGACAGAATCAGCCCGGGGATGGCCAGCAGGCACTCACCTCTCACCTCCTGGAGGCCGGAGTCCAAGGTCAAGGTGTCAGCAGGGCGCAGTCCTCCCCAGGCCCGTCCCCTGGGTATGTAGACGTGCCCTCCCTGTGTCCTCACGTGGTTGTCCCTCTATGCACGTCTGTGTCCTTATCTCATCTTATAAGGACCCCAGTCACATAGAGTTAGGGTCAAGCGTATGTCCTCAGTTTACCGTCATCTCCCTCCTAAAGGCCCCACCTCAAAATCAGTCACATTCTCAGGCCCTGGGCTTCACCGGGTGCATTTGGGGCTTAAGTTAGCCCTGAACTGTGACTCCCCAGGGCTGATTCCACTGCTGCAAAACGTGTGATGCACAAAATAGGAAACATATTCAAACAGAAGCTGAAATGCAAACTTGAGAGTGGGCGGACGGCGACCCCCAGCTGTGTGGTGTAACAGGCCCCCCCTTTTGTCTCCTCAGCTCTTTTACTTGGTTTCTGTGGGCCTGTGTGTCGCCGTTATCGTGGCCTTCCAGCTGACAGCTTTCACTTTCCGCGAGAACTTGGCAGCCACGGCGCTCCTGCTGGCGCTTTTCGGGTATGTGACAAGAAGCGCGGCCGCAGAATTACGGCTTGTTTTCTGCAAGAGAACACTCCCGGGATGGCTCGGAGCCTGCTGTCGGCTCCATGATTTCCTCTCTTCTCAAGCAATTATGTTCCTTCTCCAAGAGACGCTGTGCAGATAAGCTGGGGCACGATCTGAAAACCCGGGGAGGAGGGGCGGGGGCCACGCCGGGAGGGAGGCGGCCCTGGCCAGGCTCCGACAGGCCTCCAGCTGTTTGACAGACGCGCGCTCTTGGAAGCAGACACGCTGTTATTCTCTCTCACATTAATCGGGGCTCAGGTATGTCATCCAGCGAGCTCTGAAATTGCCTTTGCAGAGGGCTTTTCTGGAAGCCCCACGTCTGGCGTGTGTCCCCTCTCCGACGATTTCAGTCGTTTGCAGATGTTTTCTCTGACTTTCATCACTTTTGATCTCAGAGGAAAACAGCAAAGTCACCTTGTAAGTTTGTCATTTATACGCACTGACCAGCATCATGGCAAGTGACCTCCGCGTCACACCTCCCCGTGGCCGCTCATGTGCTGTGCATGCAGGTCTGTGTCCGGGCCAAGCGTGGGAGACATACTTACTTGCTTGTAGAAGGGGAAAGAATTAACATGCTAATTTATTATTTTTCATGGCCATGTTTTTAAAAAAACAGATCAGCTGCTTTTATTCATGCTAAAGATTACAAGTAAAATGAATTTTACACAAACCCATCACATCAGTCACCCAGGTATTCAAAACAATTAGGGGACAGAGTTTAACTGAAACAAGTATGTATGATTATTAGATGGATTGGTGCATTGGTGGATGGGTGGAGAGGAAGGGAGAGAGCGAGCATCTGGAAATACTAACGTTGCCACTCACTAACTCTGGCCGTGGAATTGTCTCTGAGTTCAGTTTCTTTTCTCCAGCTCTGTTGCTGTGAAGATTGTATTAGAGAGCCATGCACACCTCATGCGCAGTGACTGGCGAAAGTTCCCAGTAAATTAGTTTGGCTGTTACTGTTGGACTCGTCTTACCTAGAGGGTATCGTGTGTGAAGCTATGCAGCACGCCTCCAGAGAGACATGTTTAGCATCCGTCGTGCATGTGAAGCCTGCATGTGAGGGTTCTGGCTCCGAGGCAGTGCTACGGCCTCAGTGCATTGACCCAGTTGGCGGCAGCGCTGTCCTGGCTCCGTCCAGCGTGAGCGCGATGGGCTGTGCCGCACAGCGTCTTTGAACTCCAGGGTTGCAGATTTCAAACATAAAGGCAACGCAGACAAAATCAAATGGTTAGACGCTCCTAAGGAACACGCTTTTAGGAGTTTCCGTTCACCTTGGTTTGCTTGCACACACACCTTTAAGAGTCTGAATTATGCTAAGAATCCTCCCACGTGCATGACTACAGCATTTCCCCATAGTTTCGGGAGGTTCACAGATCTCCTGAAGGGGCGACAAGCTCGGGAGGCAATCTCAGGTTACAGGGACCAGAGCACCTGGAAAGGTGAAGGCCGCGTTGGAGGTCAGGCTGATGTAGGGAGAAGAGCCACCGGCAGGCCAGGATCGGGGTGACGTCAGGGGGGCTGCGGACTAGACCAGGTTTGAATGGTAGTTCTTCATTGGAGTGAGCCGGGCTCGGACCTGGAACCTGTGGCCACCCCCCCATAAGAGGAGGAGGGCCCCGTGCAGAGCCACCATGTCCTGTGCATCCTGGCTTACTCCTCTTGTCCCCACATGGACCCAGAGGTGCAGGGTGCCGAGTAACAATCTCAGGAAGGCTGAACCCCAAGAACATGACTGGGCATTAAATGGGGCTATTTAACAGTTTCAAAACTGAAAAAGTTAGTGTCTCATAAGAGACAATTTTCTTTTTTTTCTCTCTTTCTCTGTAGTAAGGGAAATTTAATTTTTGAACTGGGGTGCATGGGGAATTAGCATCAAAAAGAAGAAAATAATGCCTAAAAATATCAGAAAGAGAAAAGAATCTAGCTCATATAAAATCGAACCCCTAAAACATACGTGGTGCGTACTTAGCACCTACGGACGTGCAGATGAGGTCACTGGACCCTGTCTGGCATCTTGGAGAATTCATGCAGTGTGAGAAGGGGGCCTTATTTTCAAACAGAGGAAAACCCATACGTTCCCAAAAATCACGAACAATATGCCAATATCCAGCGAATTCTAAAATCATTAAAAAGATATTATGTTTTTATAAGAGTGGAGATTGTTAAAAGCTACCACAGCTTTCACTAAAATATAAAATGTGATCTATAAACCAATTTAATTGTTTTCTTTAAAAAAAAAGACCTTAAGACTAGAGCTGCCAATATGTTGATTTGAACCAAGTGCTTGAAAAGTACCTAAACGTGTGGTAAAAATAGTGATGGGTGCTTCGCTGCTTAAAACCACATTCAAAGATGGACCGTTGACGTAGCAGGAGCCCTCCAGATGCATCACTGTGGTCTGCGTCTTTGTCCCTTTGTACTGAAATAATGCTCGACCTACCCTCAGACACTTAAAGGACATGACCCAATGCAGAAACCTTCTGTGACGATAACCACGCCCACACTCTAATGACCTCAGCGGAGTGAAACCAGTGGTGTGGCCCTAACTGTCCCCCACATGCAGCCGCGGTGTCTGGGCTCCCTCGCAGGACAGGGGCTGCTCTCCGGGAAGGGACGTGCTGATCTGAGAGGGGGATGACCTTGCTGGGCTTTGTGCCAGACCAGCCACATCGGATGCTCTGTGAGCTGTTGGTGCCCAAACGGCCCTGACACCAGGTTGCAGCGCTGAGCGGAGCGCTGGCTGGGCACCGTGATTTAAAAGGAACCGGAGACCTGGTTCTTCCTATCGGAGGCTTTCGAAGACCAGCACGGTTATCTGCAGTTGTGATCGGGCTGTCGCTAGAAAGGCAAAGCCGCGCGTCACAGGTCATTCCGTGTAGCGTTTGGACCAGGAGGGATGCAGAGATCTCCAACTTACAGACCTTCGGGGGGAGGGGCCTTTGGTTCACTGTAAGAAGGAGTTTACAGCAGGTCCAGCCCCTCCAAACATTTGGTCAGAACCTCCTAACACTTAGATTTCAGTTACAAAAAGTACTTGCCATACTGTTGTTTGCTTGTAGCCACATGAGAGAGGGTGGCACTTGATTTGTGCCCAGAAGGGACAGTAAAGTTGAGAGAGTTGGGGGTGCAGAGTACGTGAGAACATGGGGGCTCGACCCCTCTCTGTGGTGCTTTATTTCAGACAGACATGTTGACAGCTGAGAGCACCAGGAAGCCACGACTTGCCTCTTTGGTACTTAATTTCAACTGAGTTGTTAATGAGAGTTTCATTATTTGGCACAGCAACTATTGGGTGTTGCAACGAAAAACATAGAAAAAATACGTCATGACTTTCCCGACAACCCAATATTTAAGAACGATTGCTCCACTGAGCTCACCTCCAGGCGGAACTACTAAGCCAGCCTAACGAACAGTGACAAATCCAGCGGAAGTGGGCAGAGAGCATGTGGGGACATATGGGCCACTTGTGACCTAGATGAAGTCCCGTGTCCTTTGTAGGACCGGGTTTTGGGGCAGAGAGAAGCTGAATGAATTGAGTCACGAATGAAACCTGGCTCGAGGACATAGAGAAGGAAAGGAGCGAGATCTCCATGTGGGGACATGGCGGGTGTTCCCTTAGATCTTGATGTCATCAGAAACATGCAGGGCGCCCCTTTACCCAGCTTTGGGGAGACGAAGTGAATCCCATTTGCAGCTTCACGTGCGCCTCAGCCGTAGACCCCCCCTCCAGGTACCTGCCTCGTTAACCCCTGTGTCCCAGGTGGTCAGACGGAGTGTGAGAAGCAGGGAACGCGAGGTGCCACCCGCGTGGTGCCCCGCACGCTCTGGAAAGGAAGCTTTCCGTTTTTGTCTTCATGCGTTGTTCTCACAGAGCTCTGCAGCCATGTTCTGATAGCGTGTGGTCCTCAGAAACAAACAGCTGTTATTCCTGCTTCACTGCTGTGGTCGGAGCTGGGGCACAGGCCGGGCACGCCCGCCCCTTAGGGGAGGAGCCCAGGGGGAGGTCAGCTGCAAGTCCAGTCCTATAGGCGCCGTGACCCAGGTTTTGACCTTCCCCAGTGCTGCAGGGTCCCCAGAAAGCTGTTGGCTAAGCGAGGAAACGTGGGTGGGCCTAAAACCTCATCTGTGATTCAGGCTTCATACGAATCACTGTTACAGGAAATAAGCGTGTTTTCACCCGACTTGCAGATACGCCACTCTCCCGTGGATGTACCTGATGTCCAGGGTCTTCTCCAGTTCGGACGTAGCTTTCATCACTTACGTCTCGGTGAACTTCATCTTCGGCCTGTGCACCATGCTGATGACCACCATGCCCCGCCTCCTGGCCATTGTCTCCAGAGCTCAGGTCAGTGACCCCGCGCCGCCGCGCCGAGGCCTCAGTGAGAGGGGGTCGACAGGCCTCGTCTGCTGCTTTTCGAACTGAGATTGAAGGGAAACGTACTAGTATCCACTGTCTTTAACCTCCAGAAAGACAAATCGACTCTCCTTAACAAAAGCATCTGTGCCATCATGGGAGCCATGCCTAGGCTGGTGACAGCTGACAAAGATGTGCAGTTTCCTTAATCACCAGTTGCAGAGTTAAAGGCTGTAATGTTCCATTGCTTCCACCTTATAACTAGTAAGAGAAAATCCTTTCGTGCGCTGCCTTATCGGATCCAGGGACATAGTTTTCTGAAAAGTAGGATTAATAAGCCGCTTTAGGACTGATTGAAATCTGTAAAGAATGCTATCAGTCAAGACAAGAGCTAAAGGAAAATAAAATGGCTCTCACGTTTTCCCATGTCTGTCTATATGCAAAAGACAGTAAGCCGTAACGTAACAACACACGCTGCTAAAGGCTTCATTGGATCTTTCTCTTGCCCCCAGATCACATTATTTAAGACTACACTTATATGATCAGGTTCTAAGTTTGCATCATGAGGGAAAACTGGACCCCATCTATTATGAAACACGAAACCGACCATTTGTGGGTATCATCTTAATATTTATGATGTGACACGTAAGTGTGTGTATTGTATGTACACATTATGATGATTTTGCTCCCATGTTACACGGGTTGGGTGGTACTGGCTTTCGTACCGATACTGCTGCTTAGACCCATCACTGAAGTTGAACTTACGGAGAGAAAGGCTGTGTGATGTGAGCCGCTTCCCTGCGACCCTCTGCGCTTCCGTGCTGGCGGTGGTTAGCGTGGGCTTTCTGGGCTAAGAAGCCACGCTGAGTGTAACGGTCAGGAGTGGGCCGCGTCTCAGTGCATCTGCTACACAGGCTGTGTCCCTGCTGGGGGACCTCATGCTCGGGGCCAGATCCGGGGGTCGGGTGCTGGCCCCATGTCGCTGTGGCCTGGACACAGGCCTCGGGCCCAGGAGACTGTGTCCCCTTACTGGTAACAGTGTATTTCCCAGCACCCTGTACATTGGTTGAGAGAATGAAATGCAAAAAGGTTCAGTACAACCGGAGACGCAGGGTATTGTGCAGAAAGCACTTGGTGGACAGCGATTAACATTGAGTAGTTTTAATCTCATTATGGAATAAAACTAGTCTTCATAAAGCACCAGGTGCTACAGACAAGAATGAAGTCTATGGGAGGTGCTGAATCTTTACATAGATTCAATTTAAAGATTATATTGTTAAACATACAGCCTGTCTTTTTGTGCTGCTCTATTTTCTCTCGATGACATAGTGTTTGATCTCTTCTGGCTCCTCCCTTATTCATCGTCCTTGTGACGGCAGTTCATTCTAACAGGCTTAACGGTGACAGCGACATAGGTTTGGCGCTCACTATACACTAAGTACTAACTGGACTTTCTACACGTTATTTACATGCTCCCAGCCCCAGCGGCTAGTATTGCCCACTCATTTAAAACTAATGTCACCTGTGCCTATTCTGTTCCCCACGTGCCTTAGCCTGGGCTGCTGACACAGCACCACAGACCGGGCGCCCTAAACAGCAGCCATGTTTCTCGCCGTTCTGGGGGCTGGAAGGCCAAGACTAAGGTGCCCGTAGGCCCAGGTGAGGCCTCTCTTCCTGGCTTGCACGTGGCCACCTTCTCACCGTGTCCTCACGTAACAGGGAGACAGGGAGCTCTGATGTCTGTTCCTGCTCTCCGAAAGGACGCTCATCCCACCATGGCCCTCCCTCATGCCTTTATCTAAACCTACTCACCTCCCAATATCCACATAGGAATTTTAGGGCCACAGGTATCCAGTCCATAACATTCCACCCCTGACTCCCCCAAATTCTTGTCTTTCTCACATGAAAAATGCATTCATTCCACCCGACAGCCCCAAAAGTCTTAGCTCATTTCAGCATCAACTGTGAAGTCCAAAGTTTCATGGGAACCTCACCTAAATCAGGTCGGGGTACCTGAAGTGTGATCCACCTGAGGCAGAATCCCTCTCGGCTGTGAACCTGTGAAGCAGACGAGCCATGTTCTCCCAAGTGCGAGGTGGGACAGGCATGGGACAGGCGCCCTGTTCCATAGAGAGACGTCGGAAGGATGGCCGGTGAGGGGACCCCAGCAGGGCCCAGCTCCGAGAAGAGCTCACGGCTGCGCAGTCAAAGGGCCCCTTTGGTTTGCTGCTCTCAGGCCTGTCATCGAGCGGCTGGGCCTGGGAGGATCTGGGACACAGGGACGCAGCGGGACATGGAGTTGGGAGGGGCGTCTCAGCTGACTCCTGTCCTCTTCCCACAGAATCTACAGGACATCTACGACGTGCTCAGGTGGGCCTTCACTGTGTTCCCTCAGTTCTGCCTGGGCCAGGGCCTGATCGAGCTCTGCTACAACCAGATCCAGTACGACCTGACCCACACCTTCGGCGTCGACCCCTACGTGAGTCCCTTTGAGATGAGCTTCCTGGGCTGGATTTTCGTGCAGCTGGCCTTGCAAGGCTCGGCTGTCCTCCTCCTGAGGGTCCTGCTGCACTGGGACCTGCTGCAGGGGTGCAGGTAGGTCCTGGAGTGGCGCCGACTCCCGAGTGAGGAGGGGGAGGGGGGAGACTCCATCTTGGAGGCTCGGAGAGCTGCGTGTGATGGTGCTCGCGGCTCTCCCGGGCTAGGCTCGGTGTCGCTCTTGGCTTTCTGTCATCGACGGGTGAGTCGTGGACACGAGGGACAAGGTCATAAGATGAGGCGCCAACCTGCGAGATAATTGTTCCAGCTACTTAAGTGCCCCAATGAGGTTTCCCTTTCACTGTGATGGAAGCACCAGAGGTGGATTTGGATGATAACGTCATTTCATGTTTGGGGTGAAATGGCTTCACCCCTAGAAGCAGGAATTGCGTGGAAACCCAGTGCCGACACCCCCTGGTCCTCGCAGACCCTGTTGTGTTGTCACCGGCTTCTCTCTGTCAGGTGAGGACGAGCGTCGGTAGCACGACGGTCTGTGTGTGAATATAGATCACCGTGTGCTCTCTGCGTGCGGGTGCGTGTGTGCAGCACACACATCCCTCGTCGTCCAGGAAGGACGCAGGTGCCTTGCACGGAGGCCTGAAATGTCAGCCAGCTCGGTTAAGTGGACAGGGAAGGAGTGCGCTTTCTTGTGTAGCGTCCATGGCGGTCCCTCCAGGACCCGTGTGGCCTGAATCCGTCGACTGGTTCTTTCCAAGCGAGGGAACCTCTATGGAGAAATTTCTAATTAGGACCATGTCACTGGAGAACCTACTAAAAAGATACACTATTGATATTTTTTGTAGACCCCCTTAGAGAATTGTCTGCTTTCAGTCATTTTATAATCTGTTTCCTCGGCGTGTGGTGCTGGACCCCGCAGGTGGGTGCCTAATTACTAGTTAAAAGCAGGGCACGGAAGGAGGGGTGTCTCATGCTGCATGATGCTGGTGTCACTCCCCGGCAGCCACTTTAACCTGCTAAAGTGGAGAGAATGGGCCACACTCACTCTGGGAGGGATTTCGGTATCTGACTGAGATTGGAATAGAATCCTGAGGGCCTTGGAAATAATTGATTCTGAGATTGGCCCTCCCTAGTTGAATATTTTAAAACTGCTGTAGAATCCCGTGGGGCAGACCTCAGGGGGCTCCGTTCTCCTGCAGCATTAAAGGATTTTCTTTTGGGAGAAGACTGCCTTTAACTTGTGTTACCTTTGCTTTGTAGAGTATAAGTTAAGCTGGATTCTAAAGTAACATCTTCGTACCCACGGCAAATAGTCAGTATTTGTTGTTCTTTGTCAACGTGAAGGTTACAGAGTGTGGAGAGTTAATCTAATTTAGACGCTGGTTGTCTCTCGCTCCCTTACGTATGACTGTCACCGTGACGGTGTCACCAGGTCAGTTTCTTCTTACCGTCCACCAAACGAGGCTGCTGACCGTTGCCTGAAGGATGAAATCCAAGGTGCGTGACCAGCCCCTCAGGTCGGGCACCTCACACCCTGGGAAGCTCTCAGTGATGCTTCCGCCATCCGGAGCTGACGTCGGCACCTGGTCACCTGCTTGGCCTGCTCCTCTCCCAGCGTCTCCTCCTGCCCCCTCGCTGCCCGCCGGGTCCGGCTGTTTCCATGACAGCCCGTCTTTCCACGGCGGGCTGTGTCGGCGTTGGTTGGTAGTGTGTATATGTTACTTGCTCGGCTTGGCTGTAAGTTCGCTCTGCGGGAACTAGTGTCCGCTGTCGTAGCTGCTTCGTGGCAGAGCGTAGGAGGGCCGGGCAGTTCCGCCTCTCCAGCTGAGCAGCGTCAGTGCCGACCCGCGAGCCACCTCCTCTCCCTGGCCCCTCCCTGCGTGGCCAGCCCGTGGTCGTGCCGCTGGCCTTGCTTGTCTGTAAGAATGCAGGTCCCCACAGGACCTGAGCCCTGGCGGCACAGCCGTCGGCTTGGGAGTCAGCAAACATGTTGGTACGACACCAACTCAGGGTCTGAACTCATTTAATGATTCAAATGTAGGCATGTTACCATTTACAGGGAAATTGAAATTTACTTGAAAGTTAAAATGCACCAGATTGAAAATCACAGGAAGACTGAAAAGTGAGCAGCTCAGGGCTTGAGTGGCTGCCTCCGAGCTGGACACTGAACTTGTGTTCACCTGTCAGACACGCACCGGCCACAGTACGCAGGTCCCAGGCCAGGGCCTGCACTGCAGATGGTGATGTCCAGGGGCTTTCATGGACAGTGTAATTTATTAAATGACCTATTGGCCAAAAGTGCTTAGACAACTTGATTCCTTACAATAATTTTGGGGTAAATTCTTTTTCCATCTAGCACGAGGTCTGGCCTGGTTTTCTCTTTCGTACAGTAGAGTGTCTCTAGTGTGGGGTCTGTGCTCTCGCCGCCTTCAGGAACACGGCCATTCCCTCACGTCAGTGGAGGGACGTTGACGCTTGCCGGACATCAGTGATCAGGCCACGGAGCCTGGGGGCGTGGCCCAGAGCTGCCGCCGGAGCCCAAGGCCACCCCTTCTGCTTAGCCAGACCGCTGGCCTCTCTCTGGACCCTTCTAGCCCCATTCCCCAGCGCGAATGAACTCTGACTTTGTCTTTCCAGGGGTCCCTCTGCCATCCAAGGCACAGTCACATCTTGTAAGGACACAGATGTTGAGAAAGAGCAGATGAGGGTGTTGAAAGGAAGAACCAGCGGAGACGTCCTCGTGTTATACAACCTCAGTAAAAGTTACCAGGGCTTTTTCAAGAGGACCACTGCTGTGCAAGACATCACTGTGGGCATCGGGAGAGGGGAGGTAAGAAGCTCCTGTGTGTACCGTTTTGGTTGCAAACCCGTGTAACCCTAGTTATTGATCTGCCTGTGTTATTCTCAGAAGATCTGAAGTCAGAACTCAGAGCAGCCTTCAAATTTCAGGAACGTCTGCAAATCAGTCAACATGCTCTTGGCTCTTTCTCTAGTGAGAACTTTGCTGATTGACGGATGGGGTTTATTCTGTGTCATAATTTTAAAATTTCACGTGATTGGGGAGCTTTAATTACTGTGTGGGCTGTGGGTGACTTTTTACTGAGTGCCAGTATTTTATGAATCCAGTTAGTTCAGGAAACCACTGCTGCTCTTACTTGGGCTTCACGAGTCTATAAGTGGCCAGTTAAGCCCATCTTACAGGAAGCTGCTCTGGATGGTAAGGAAGGCCCCACACCACAGCCATCGCTCAGATGCTTTGCTTCGTGGACGTGGCATCAATCTGAGAAGAAATGTTTAATCAGAACTGACAGGAGCCATGGAAATTGTTCCTGATTTGTGCTTAATTGCATAAGGAAATCCACTCCGGAAGTTATTACTTTCATTAACCGTTAAAAGTAAGAGAGGCCGGTTGAGGGGCTCAGTTGGTTAAGAGCTCGCTCAAGAATGTGAGCTCTGAACAACAGTGTTGCTGGTTCGATTCCTGGCCTGAGCTGAGCTGCCGCTGAGCTGCCAACAGGTGGCAGGATGGCTCAGCTAGAAAAAAAATAATAATTAAAAAAGAAAAAGTAAGAGAGGACCTTGCATTCATGTTCCAAGCTCCTGAGAAACTCACGGCAGGTTGTGTCGTGACGGGGCCATGCGCTGCCGCGAGGGGCAGTGGGCGCTTCACTCCTGAGTGTGTGGGGGGCAGAGAAGCAGGAGGGCGTTCACAGTGACCCGGGGACATCCTGACGCCGTGCCCCGGGTGAACAGCACAGGATCTTAACACGAGCTTGTCCTGTGGTTGGCTTGTACTCAGCATTAAGACTAGCGATGCGACTATTTTTACCCTGGCTTCAGACACCAGCTTTACGCCACAGAGTAAGAGAAGGCTGGGGAACTTCGTGGAGAGATGGCCCAGGTCCCTGAACCCATCCAACATGTCACATCCACGTGGGCTGTAATCGCTAGGCTCGTCATGAGCATCATGATGGAAAATAGCACCTCAGAGGTAGCGGAAAGCAAATGCTGATTCTGATAGAATTTGGGGTTTATTGTTTAACTTGTCTTCTGCTCTCAGTGCTTTGGGCTTCTGGGCGTGAACGGAGCTGGGAAGAGCACCACATTCAAAATGCTGAGTGGGGACGTCCCCCCGAGCTCAGGACATGCTGTCATCAGGACTCCCACAGGGTAAATTCCAGATTTAATCGTGTTTGTTGCCTGTAGAGTTAGTGATGGAGCCCGCAAACCCCCTCGGCCCTGCGGGATGAGGTCTGAGGACCCCCAGTGTGCCTTCAGGACCGACCGCTCCTCAGAAGGAGGGGAGAGCCTGTGAACGCGATGAAATGAGCTCAGTGTGTGTGGCCAGAGCAGAGGCTCAGGACACGGTGGCAAAAGCCGGCAGGCTGACCTCCGTCAGGGGGCGGGTGCCACATGGGTGACGGCACCTGTCTGCTCGCTGCCCTGTGCCGCTCAGGCGAGCAGGACACAGCCAGCAGCTGGTCCTTTCAGCTTCACCATCGGTTCCAGCTTCCACTGTCCCGATATCCTGTGGCCTGAGGTGGCCAGAGGGGCTGGATGGACCTCCTCTTCCGTAAGGCTATTTCCTCGCTCGTCCTCCGCAGACCATCATGTGTGTCCTGGTATGGATGTCCCATGTCCCATTCTGTGCCCCACACTTCTTTCTTTTTTTTGTTTGTTCATGTATTTTGTTCTTTAGAGTCCACATATAAGTGAGATCATATTTGTCTTTCTCTGACTTATTAATTCAGCATTCATGCACATGAACATATTTTATAGTTCTTTTTCTCCACATAATCCTAAATGAAATATTTTTGATCATTGATCTGTCCTTACTTTTCTACAGTAAACTTTATTTTGTCATGGATTTAAATCTTTCTTGTTCGCTATGTTTTATATAGTATTTTAAATTTGAAATTCATAAGAAAAATTAGTTTGTTGTTGCAATCTGTCATTTCCAATCCTTACTATTAAATTATTTTTACTTTTGTTATATTTTGACAATTTATATTTTCTTACAAAACTCAACTGAAAAATTTTAACTACTTTGTCATAGAGTTATAATTATTATCGTAAGATCTGCATTTTCATTCTATCTTTATACCTGTATGCTTGTGATATTTTTCTGTAAAATTACTTTTCAGACTTTGACTATTTTACTTCAAAAAGAATGAAAGATTGAATTTCTTTAGCAACTCAACTCAGCTTCCAAATTTAGTAAATTTTGTCATTCTTATTAACCTCTCCAACATGCTTTACTCAAACTAGTTTTGTTCTATTTTTAACTTCTTGATTTGAATGATTTTTAAAATAGTTTTTCTTTAAATCATCAAATCATTAAGTTTATAAATATGCTTCTTGTTACTGTTTTAACTTGATCCTAAAGATTTAATAAGTGATATTACTGCTATCATCATTCTCTAAATGACATATATAAGTTTGATTTAGTCTTTTAAAAATTTGCATTGTAGGGTATTTCTAGATATTCAAATCTTGTGTTCCTTGGTTTAATACTTTTTAAAATTCCTTTTAAAAAATGTATATTGAAGTATGAGTTACATGTAGAAAAGGACATCTCCATGCATTTTCGCAAAGTGAACACATTTTTATAATCTGTACCCAGCTCAGGAAATAGCACAAGACCTAACCCCCTTTCCCGGCCTTCTCCTCATCACGGGTAACTGCCCACCTCAGTGTGAAAAATGTAGTTTTGTGTATTATTGTCAGGCTGACTGTCAGGCCAGGAAGTAAAACCCCGACAGCTGACCCAGGTTCCCGCACGTGTGCCCTCCCACCCAACAGGGTCTGGACGGCTCTGTCACCCAAGGGCACCCCTAGACACCACCGTTTAGTCTTGCTCATTTGTAGAAACTCGATATGTCTTTTAAGTGTCTCGATCTGTGGGTTTCCGCTTATCTCCTTTTCTTTACAGTGTAGCTCTTGGTCCCGGGCCCTTGGACTTGGAGAGGGAGCTGCTGGCAGCCTTTGCTGGTCGCTCAGAGGGGGTGAAACTGGATGTGGGCCCAGAGGCTGAGCAGCTCAGTCAGGCCTCCTGCTGCCTAAGCAGCAGCCGCCTGGTGTGCTCTCAAGAGGCGCGTCTTACCTGGTCTTCATTCTTTAGTGTCAGCAGTCACGACTAATGCATCTTTCACCCAGTGGAGATTGCAAAATGGTGACAGCCTAGCTCTTATCGCTTTGTTTTCGTTTCCTGGCTTGAATAATTTTATAAGGAGTTGCTTTCACTGTGTTTTATTTGATTACGCAGAGGCATAGTACGTATAAAAAAATGACAGATGAATGCTTGTTGTTTTCCTTTTCATTTACCAGTTTTCAAGACAATTAATTGCTTTCCAGTCATCCTATCCTCAGAGGTGAGAAAATCGGGTTTGTCTGTTTTGGGTTCCATCGCCCTGGTTTCATTCTGATAGATGTAGCTTGTGCCAGAAGGCTCGCTTGTGCCGAGTTACCCCGTCTGCCCCTGCAGCTCTGCCTTCCCTGTCTCCCCTCATCCCCGCCGGTCCAGCTTTCTCGTCTGTATTCTAGGATAGTGACAACTCAAGTGTTGGAATGAAGACGTGATGAGGTCTCATATGCAAGCCTCCTTGTCCAGTAACAGGCGTACACTCACCTAAGAACTAGCCCCTTTCCACCTAAATGAAGTGAGAGAGCTGAAAGCTTAGCCACCTTACTGCACACGTGACCTGTTAGTCACTCCGCCATCCGTGCTCACCCCTTCCTCTTGTAACTATTGCGGGGCGCGGGCAGAGAACACAGTTCTACTCTGGGCAGTCTCTGTCGATGGATAAAAAGTCAACATTGGGAACTAATTATGTTTGAGAAGAGAAAATAGAGAATTTATTAGTCAAGGGAGCGTTTGAGGAATTGTGACTAGAGTTGTAGGTCCTACTTAACATTCTGGAAGGGACACATGCGGGATGGGCTTGAGGCTCTGTCAAGCACTATGTTGTTGACTTTCCCTGAAGTCGTAGAAATGAGAAGCTTTTCTGTGTGGGTGGTGGCTTTTTGTGGTAACTTCTCTGTTTATAAGTACATCTGGACAAAATAATCAGAATTCCAAAGGAAGCAAAAATATATGGTTTATTTTTTCACCCCTGAAAGGCTGACTCTCTCCCTCATAATCTCATTCCATCATTTCTAAAATAATTGGAAAATGAAATTCAAATAGCTGCTCTTGAAAGCAAGCATGAATTTACATCTCCGTAATGGCCTGCAAGTCCCTTATTATGCTATGTGTCTGTGTAATTAGTTTAATTATAACTAAATCACACTTGCATTAATTATATTTTTAACCTTGATTATTTGTAATGTTAATTGTACATTGGAATTCAAGGAATGAAATGGTAATTGGGACACAATGGAGTTTTTAACCACTTAGAGGGCTGATACGTATCTTACAGTCCATGAAGCTGATAACACTCCACCAAACCGAAACACGGGGATTCAGACAGTTTTTGTGTTAAATCCCTTTCCTTTGAGGTTATATTTATCAGGAGCAGCACTCTCTTCTTGTTTAGTTTTTAAAGTTTATGAACTCATATCCTCAAACTTGAGACTGTATCTAAAGAATTTATTTAAAAACTGACCATTACAACTAGTATGAAGTGTCAGGTGCTCCTGATGTGATGACAGAGGTCGCAGATGGACGCACACACGACTGCTTGGCCAGTGCAGGGCCCACATTCCGGAGCGGACCATCCTGCGTCAGGACACGGCTGCCCGTTGGTCACAGTCCCGCATTCCAAGCTGCCTCACTGCTGATGCCATCGTGTGTTCAGGGCGAGTGTTTGGACCCTGAAAGCGTTTGCGTTTACAACCCCCAGACAAAATAAATGCGAATAACAATAGCCATAGTTTTTGTGATTCTGCCACTCGCCAAGCATTACGTTAGGGGCTTAGCATTCTTGATCTCATCTAATATTGTAACAACCTTGGGAATAGATATTCTCCTCACTTAACTAATAAGGAATCTGAGGTTGAGAGGATTAAGTGGCACACCAGAAGATAGACTTCTAGAAAGGGGCAGAGGCTTTGAATCTAATTTTCAGCTCTGAATCTCAGGCTCTGGCTCTCCCCTGAACTGAGAGGAAAAGAAACAATAATCTATAGACTCATAGCATAAAATGTGAAAAAAGGCACAGCAAGACATAATTTGTTTTTTTTTTTGAGAGGCAACTGACAGATACCAGAACAAGCATGTGTTTTGCAGAAAATGCAGGTTGTCAGGGAATTAAGTAATAAATAGTAGAAAAACTGTTCAGACACCGCTTTCTCCTCCCAGCTGAGCCCAGCATTTTGGGCGCCTGCGCCATTTCCCTGTGTGCGGCCGGGACGGACCGGCCCGCACTTCCTCCCGTCCGAAATGCTCGCTGTCAGAAGTCATGTGAGCGTTAGCTGTTAAGTGTTACAACCCCATCAAATCTCCAAGCGCTATGGGTATAGCACGTGGGAGTTTGTATACAGATTACTCTGCTTCAATCAAAGTGCTACAAAACCAGTGAAAAAGCACAGGGCTCATTTATTCCTTGTAAAAGCCTTATCTTCCTTTAGACAAATATGACTCACAAATTAGAACAGTTTTAATCATAACCTCGCCAACTAGGAATTACTTGGAATTTGTTTCTCTCCCATTAAATGGCAATTTAACAACCTAGTACAGAGTGAGGAAAAAATGAAAGGAAATCCTCTCTAACCTCACATTAAAGTGATTTTTATTCTTGGAGTCCCAATTTTGAAAAGAAAAAGTCTGTCTACATACCTGCCTACACATAATCACGTGCGTGCATACACAGATGCACAGCTGCAATAACCACAGTTTCCCACCCGTTTCACCCGTGTCCAGGGCCACGCGTCGGAAGTGGTTTTCAGGACCCCTGGCTGACCGCCTGCCTTGTATCCCCAGGGCTTCAGTGCCAGCGTGTCCTCAGTGCTTCTCTCCTCACACTTACATTGCTGTGTGTGTTTTCCTTTCCTGGAGCAAAGTGCCTCCGAGCTCTAACAGTCCTATCTGTGAAAGAAAGCGGTGCCTGATTCCGGGATCGGCTAGGACGTGGCAGAGGTGCAGGCAGCAGAGGGCTCCATGCTCAGCCACCACGGGCCTCAGAGGGCACCACGGGCGGTCACCGCGCGCTGATTGTGTTTCCAGGAGACGT